CGCCCACCTTCCTTGCGACCACCAACACACAGGAACTCCATGTGAGAGAAAGGACGCCCAGCCAGGCTTGGATGAGGGGAAGAGGAGGGGCCTGGGGGACATGGGAGACCACCCCCGAGCTTGCCTGAGGGCCAAGCTGGCTCAACCCATCCACTCCAGGCCCCCATCCCAGGGGTCACCCGCAGCCTCAGATGATGGGGTCAGCAGGCCCAGGAGGAGTGAGAAGGCCATGGGGCAGTCCCCGTCCTGCTCTCAGCTTGTGCCTTGTAAATAAATGTACAGGTGGCATGTGCTTCCTTCCCTCTGTACCCACTTGGGTGAAGTCACAGATGACCACTGTTTAGTGAGAACTACTGTGGGCCAAGCACTTTAGTGACGTCAGTCAGTTTGCAGTGTAGCCATCACCAGGGCAGCCTCAGGGGCCAGACTGCCCAGTGCATGATCTGGGCAAGTGGTTTCCCCACTTTGTGCCTCAGTTTCCTCACCTGTGAGAAGGAGGTCACGGCACCAGCTAACATTTATGGGGTGATTACTGTGTGCCAAGCTCTACTTAAGCATTTGTATATAGATATTAACTCATTTACTCTTCAGAGAAAGGTTATGCGGTAGATATTATTATTATTCCTATTATAGAGGGGGAAACTGAGGACCATAGAAGGGAAGGAAGTTGAAGGCTACTTAAAAAAGCAGAATCTGGGGCTTGAAAGGAACTCTTCCGTTTCCTAGAGCAGGGCCCTGCTCATGAGCCCACCCTGCTTCTCACCAGAACAAGGTGTAAGCAGAGAGCAGTCTTTGCTGGGCCCGCGGTGATGGGGAGTCTCCCAGGAGGTCTGGGAAGAGAGCTCTTCTCTGCTGGGCCACAACCCACCTCAACCTAGGCCCGGAGTACAGAGGAGGGGGCTCCATCTGCTGGAGGGGGAGGCCAAGAGAGCTTAACCCTAACTGGGCGCAGCCTTTCTGGCTGTGAGGACAACTCAGAAGTAGAACTCGCCTAAGTGGGGCAGGTGGTCTGCTGGCTGGGGGCGTATCTGTCTATTGGTTCCAGCCGGAATGGCAGTGACAGCCGTTCACACGCATTGAACATCTGCTTGGTGCCGGCTCTGGCCCAGCTCCATGTGTTCGTGATCACATTGACTGCTCACGGTGACCCTGCTTAGCGGGCATTGTGTTGCGTCCATGTCTCAGATGGGGAAGCCAAGCCTCAGGGAGCCACTTGCTCAGGGTCCTATAGCTAGTCAGGGGCAGAGCAAGGATTTGTACCCGATCTAGGCCCAGAGCCCCTGCTCTTTTTTTTTTTTAATTAAAGTTTATTGGGGTGACAATGGTTAGTAAAATTACGTAGGTTTCAAGTGTACAATTCTGTAATACATCATCTATATATCAGACTGTGTGTGCAGAGCCCCTGCTCTTAACTGCTACACTGCTCACCTCCTGAGAATCGTGGACTTGCCCACATTTTGAGACCAAGGCAGTTCATCCCCTCCGTCCTGTGCCTCCATGAACACTGGCCTGGAGGGTGAGACCAGGGTCCTCACCACCACCCCTTTCCTCTTCCAGCAGGTGGGTAAAGAGTCCTGCAGCAGCAGGTGCCACACGGAACGGGTGACTCTTGGGCCTGAGCCTGGTGGGGTTTGTAGTCAGGGCTTGGGGGGGCCTGGGGAACCTGGCCTGGGCTCTTAGTGCTTATGGGCAAGGACCGCATGGCTGTGGATCCCTGCTCGCCTGCCCACCCACCTGCCACCTGCCAGCTGGGCCAGGCCTGTGGTTTCCTCTGAGTTTTCTCGGCCTTGCTGGCCCCCACCCAGGCTGAGCCTTGGCCACACAGCGTGATGATGAGGGATGAGTCACCGCTGTGGGGCGGGGGGAGGAGGAAATGAGGTCCAGCGAGAGCAGAGATTCAGGCCTGGATCCAGCTGGGGAAACCGAGGCCAAAACGAGGAAAGCCCCCTCGGCAGAGACAGCAGCAGCTGGGACTAGAACCCAGGACTCCCAACTCCCGCGCAAGCCTCAGTTTCCGCCTCTGTGATATGAAAATGACAACCTCAGCTTTGCTCTCCTCTGCCACTCCTAGGGCCATTGTGACATTCGAGATATGGGATTGGGTGTTCATTCACCATATTTCGCAGGTGAGGAAAATATCTTCAGAGAGGGAAAGTGACTTTCCCAAGGCCACACAGCAAATTGACATGTCCTGGGCAGGAATCCCACCCAGAACTATGGAACAGGGCTGATCACTGCCTTTATTCCCATGCTCTCCCAGGAGTACCTTAAAAAGCCCTTTTTGATTCATTAGGTGCCTCCTTCGGGCCTCTCCTAGTCCCTAGGGGTAACAATATAGATGGGGAAATGGGGATTCAGAGAGATTTTGCTCCTTCCAAGGGTCACAGAGCACATGTAGGAAAAAGCTGGGATGGCAGACCCTGATACAGGACTGAGTGTCTGCCCGTCTGCAGGCCTGGGCCCCACCCCCATCACTTTCGCTAGAGCTCCCATCCCCAGCAGCCTCAGGGAGGGAGGGTGGGGAGAAAGCTTTTTCACCCTAGAAGCCACCCTAATGGAGGGAGTGAACCCTCAGCTGGCTTGGGCCTGCCCGCTGGAGCCAGGGCCAGAGCCACGGCTCTAGGTCTGGGTTTCTGCCAGTCCCAGGTGCCAAGCTGTGAGTGCCCCCTGCCTCTTGCGTGGTGTGCTCTGCCCTCTACAGTGCCTATCACAATGCCACTGCTGGAAGTGACCTTCCCTGCAAGGTGCCTCCTGGGGCCAGGGCCACGAGCTTCCCCGGCCCAGTGTCCTATGCCTCCCTTCTGAGCCAAGAAGGGTTAACAGCCTCAATGGGACAGCTCCTCCTGGCTGGCCCCAACCCAGACAGCGTTCCTCCAAGACTATTTCCTGCCTCTGGGCCTTGGCCAAGCCCACAGTGACCACCCCATGGGCTGAGGCTGCATCTGGTTTGGATTACGCCAGGGCTGGTGACGCTGCCTTTTCCTGTCTGTGTCCAATGGCCTTGAATTCCACCGGCCACCTTGGACCCACCAGGGCAGCAGTGGGAAAAGATTCAGCCAGTGACAGGGCTGCCTTGATGGTGTGAAGCAGCCCAGGCTGTTCTGAAGGATGTGCCCACCTGGACCAAGGTCCCACTCATGCAGCCTCCCACCACCTTTTCCTCCCTTCACCCTAATGGACGATATTTATTGAGCACCACATGATTCCATGAATGAATTCATTTTATCCCCATCCTATGAGTGAGTATTTTCATTACCAGCATTGCACAGATGAGGAAACTGAGGCACAGGGAGTCGATGGACAAGCCCATGGGTTCCCCGCCAGGAGTCAGGATGCTAAGCTGGCAGTCTGATTTCCCACACATCCAGTCACTTCACAGCTATTTGTGGAGCCTTGCTCTGTGCCTGACTCCAAGCTAGAGCCTGAAGATGAATTAGTCATGGTCCCCACCCTCAGGGAGTTCACAGCCCCTGGAATGCCAGCGGGTAGGAGGTTGGGAATGACAGTGAAGCTGGAAGGACATGGAAGAAGACACCCCTATTCTTGTCCCTCCAATGGGAGTGACAGCCAAGCTGAGAGCGAATAGGAGCAGGCTTTTTCCAGATCAAGTGAAGTGGGAATTCCAGGGAGAAAGGGGGTCTCGTGTCTGAAGACTTGGAACTGAGCACAAGCTTGTCTTGGAGTGTTCCAGCAGGGCTTTTGCATACGATGAAGCAGGGAATACGTCTGGAGAAGCTGGCAGGACCGCAAATGCCAGGCTGGATCAGGGCACTAGGGAGCCATGGAAGATTTGGAACAAAGGAGGGGCATGGTCAGATCTGTGGTTCGGAAGGATCCTGGCAGCCAGGGAGCTCAGTGAGTGGGAGAGAGAGATTGGAGGCAGGGAGACCCAGAGGGGAGCTGGGCCATGTCTGCTTGAGAGGTTTTGAGACCTGTGGGGACAAGGAGGAGGGAGACACAGACTCACGCGCCTCTCGGGAGACAGGCTGGTGACAGAGAGACAGAGTAAAGGCAGGTCAGACAGAACGGGGTTCTATTCTACTTGTTTCCCTCTCTGAGCCTCAGATTTCTGTCTGTGGAGTGGAGCAATAATAGTACCTGTTTCCCAGGGCCAGTTGCAAAAGTTACATGAGATGCGTAGATACGTGTTGAGCAGCTGTCACATGCTGCTGACCTTATGTTTGTCCCACAGCTATTTCTCTAGCCCCTACTATGTTCTAGACACTGTTCTAGGTTCTGGGGATAAGCAGCCAGTTGACAAAAATCTCTGGCCTTGTGAAGCTTCTTTCTGGCAGGGGAGAAGTCTGAAAGGCAATAATGAATTTCGAATGGGTTGGTGGGGTGGATGCGATGATTACGAAGGGCTTCTCTGAGGACGTGAAGGGCGTGCGGGAGTGAGCCCTGTGGGGATTAGTGGAAGACTGTTCCAGGCAGAAGGAAGTTAGCAAGTGTGACGGCTATTTGGAGTGAGGGGAGGGCAAGAAGCCAAGATGACGCCAGGTCACACAGGCCCCTGAGGACTTGGGCTTTTGCTCTGAGTGGGTAGGGGAGCCCCAGGGGGTTCTCCGAGATTTGATCCACGGCGAATGGTTGAATGGGTGACCATGACTCCACTTGTCCACTCAACAAGCCTTTATTGAGGGCTTGCTTTGTGCTGGTCCCCGGATTAGGGAAGTGGATACAGTGAATAAGGCGGACCCAACCCCTGCCCCCTGAAGCTTACCTTCTAAGGCAGAGACACAATAACAAGTGACTACACACAGAAATGCGTAATTCCACATTGCAGCAAGTGCCCCGTGTGGAGGAAACAAATAGGGTGCAGAGGAGCATAATCTAGGGGTGTGTAATCAGATCAGGAGGAGGGGAGGTTTCCCTGAGGAGGTGATATTTAACTTTGGCTCCGGATGTGATGAAGTCAGCCAGTGGGGAGTGAGCTTTCCAGGTGGAGGGAACAGCAAATGCAAAGGTCTAGAGGTGGGAAAGGCACTCACCGGGGAGTCAGCTGTCTTAACTCTTGAACTTGGAGCAGGAGGATCAGCCTCTCATTTTTATCCAAGAGAGATCAGGGCGCTCTGATAACTGTGGTCAGGAGGAGGCTTTCCAGGGGCTACCAGGCAGGGTTCTGGCTGACTCTGGCCTGTTGTTAGCCTGGAACCACTTCCTTTAGCCCCACCAGCTGCCTCCCTGAGTTACCACCCAGTTACCAGCAGAGCAGGAATAGGGGGTTGGGTATCTCCCACCTGGACCTGCAGAGGATGGAGGTTCTGCCACATGCAAAGAAAGGGGCAGAGAGGACTGGGCTGAGGGGATGAGGCCCTCCGCTGGGGATGTTTGAAGTTCCGATTTCGTTCTTGTTGACTGAGTTGTACACATAGTGTGCAGGACCGGGCTTCCCAACTACCAGTCTTGAGGGTTAGAACCATTGCCCCCATTTTACAGATGAAGAAACTGAAACTGAGAGGTAAATTTACATGCTCGAGGTCACACAGCATGAAAGTGGAGATGCTGGGAATTAAATCCAAAGCCTTGCCTATATAAGGCTTCCCTCCCTCTGCAGACCACCCCCTACCTCCATAGCAGCTGGACCTTCCCCTGGGGATAAATCAGGTAAAGGGGAAATGCCCTCCTGGGGCCCAAATATTTCTCTATTGTACTTAATAAACACTTCTATTGCACGTTTCATATGCCAGACTCTGTTCTAAGCACTTTGCTTAACTCATGTAAGCCTCACAACAACCCCATGGATATAGGTAATGTTCATGTCCATATTTTATAGATAAGGAAAACACAGAGAGGGGAAGCAACTTGCCCAAGGTCACACAGCTAGAAATTGATGGAGCTGGACTCTGAACCCAGGCAGTTAGACCCCTGGGCTCCTGCTCTTAGCTGCTGCGCCTCCTGTGTCTGGCAGCCTGGCCATCAGGGAGATGGAAGCCTGTGTAGGGAGGAGAGGGTTTGGCTGGGGCCTGGATTCCTGGGTTCTGTACACTCCCAGGAGGCAGACATGCCAGGCTGGCTGACACAGCCTCCCCTTCCTTCTTCCTCATCACTGCGGTGGCCTCCAAGCGCCTCGCCCTCTGTGGGAGAGGGTCTCCCCACCCCTGGCCCAGGCGCTGCCTGGGGTGTGGGAAGGAGTGTTGAACTCTGGGCAGTGGAATGCCAGAAACCAGGGAAGGAAGCGGGTGGGCGGAGAGCAGGAGGGGAGATAAGATGTGGAGGGTGGAGGAGCCTGCTGAGGAAGACCCAGCCCTGTGGGTGGGGGTGGCCTCCTTGGGGGCAGGGAGAGCAGAGACCAAAGGACCAACAGGTGAAGAACCTGAAGACAGTCCTTCAGAGCTGCCAGACTGGGGTGGGAAGGGGCTGCCTCTGAAGGCAGGGGACTCCCCTTTCCGGGAACCCCACGTGACAGGCTCTACTTGGTGTAAAGGAGATTCAGAAATCGAGCAGGAGATGTTCTTTCAACTCTAATATTCCAAGAATCTGAGCTGGAACATTCAGAAATACCACTGATTCTACTGTGTTCAATTTTGATTTAACAAGGTGGCTTAGTACCCTTTTTTTGCGTTAACCTGCTGAGAAGGAGGGGGAGCTGGGATCTCCTCCTGGTTTCAGACAAACCTCCAGTGAGGAGAGTCCTTGAGGCAGAGTCAGATGGGATGGCCCTTGTCCCTTAAGAGCTTAAGGCAGCAGAGAGGGAACCCTGGACAGGTACAGAAGACAGTTCTGCTCTTCCCGTGTGGCCTTGGGCATGCCACTTACCGTCTCTGGCCTTGGTCTCGCCATCTGTGCCTAGGTGCTCTCTCTAGGTTGGCTCAGCTTGGGCATTCTGAATCTCTGCTAAGCACTGTACACTCCCTCCAGGTGGGGGTGGCCAGGCAGGAGCCAGAGGGTGTCTGTTGGTCATGGAAAGAATGTGAGGGCAGGAGGCCCAGTGGGTGGGGTCCCCGGACTGGGCAACAAGCAGAGGGCAACATGAGATCATGGTGTCTGGGCCTCCTGGTCCAGGACCTCTGGGGATGGGATCCTATCCAGGCCATGCCCCAGGTTAGACCCTCCCCTGGGACCCAGTCTCAAAAAGTCAGGCGGCCCCACCTCCACTCCCTTGGGCAAAGGGAGTGAAATCAGGGCCAGAGAGGTGGGCACTGGTCCAGTCTCATGCAGCGAGTCCAAGGCAGGCACTAAGCCCAGGATCCTGCTTGGGGATTGGGGCCGAGGGCGCCTGTCTTCACTTCTTGACTACGTGGGCGGCCCGAGAAGGATGTGGAGAGGGGGCTCATGCCCAGAGCTGAGTCTCTGCTCCTGGGTGTGGGGGACTCTTCTGCATGTTCCTCAGGGCAAAGGGTGGGCAGGGGATACAGCTTTCTTCTCCTCAAGCCCTGACCCCGGTTGAGAAACTAAACCTCCTCAGGGGAGGGCTGGGCAGGATGCAGGGGCCTGGGCTCCTCCAGGCAGGCCAGCCTCCCCGTCCTCCTTCTAGCTCAGGACACAGGCTGGGAAGGGACTGGGGTCACCAGGTCTCCACAGGAATGCACCACAGGGAACAGTGCCCAGCAGAGGCCTCTTTCCCTGACCCAACTGAGAAAGAGCCCCCACCCCCCTGAATCTGCTTGTCCTTGTCTCTATAACTGTCTGTCTCTGTGCATCACACACACACACGTCCCGAGACATACTGACCCACACAGGCACACACCACTGTACAAACCCACACAAGCGCCTCCTTCCCGCCTTCCTCACCCATGTCCCCACCACACACAGGACCTATCTCTCCTCCCCATCGCTCGATGGGTTCCAGGCTGGGGTCCGGCAGGCATGGTGGGGAGGGTCCCCACAGCTGGCCCGGGGCATTTTCCCAACCCCTTGGCCTCAGTGAGCCCCCACCCTGCAGGTCCCCCTTCCACCCTGGCTCTGGAGTCTGTGGGAACCAGACAGTTGGGGCTGTCCAGCCGGCTCGCTTCCTCCCAGGCCCCAGGGGACCTGCTGAGGGAGGAGAAAGCAGCAGAGACTGAAGTCAGTATGGCCGCCTGCCCAGGAAGGGCCTCTGGAGGGGATGGGACTGCCTGCACGACGAAGGGGTCTCCAGCCCCCTGGGTGTCACTTTGTGGGACATAAGACCCTCTGGGCCACTATGCCAAGACCGGAAAGGGGTTCCCCAGTATTCCTGGACCTTCTCTCCCTATACACATTATCCAGATGGGGATTGGGGACTGAGGCTCCAGAAGGAAGCCATTTGCCTCAGCAACTCTAGTATTAGGGAGTGTGGGGAAGGTGAGGTTTCAGGTCCCTAAGTCTGTTCCTGTGATGGGGGCCACAAATTCACACATTTCTCTTGTTTGCCCAAGGGGGCAACTAGAGCAGGCCAAAGGTCAGGGCTCTGTCACTTCTGATCTGTACCCAGGACAGTTACCCTCCTGCCTCCACGAGAGAAATGCTTTCTTCAAGAGTTACCAGGGGAGCTCAGAGAGATGGGGGTTCAGGGAGGTCCCCATTCCTGTGGGAGATCCAGATAAGAGGATTTGTGCCTGCCTTTTGAGCCGTGCAGGGCATAAAGGCTGCCTTTTTAGCACCGGCATTCCAGCCTTCCCCCTTCCCTGTCACCACCAGCTCTGCTCTTGCCCTATGTTACACCCCTGTATCTTCTCTCAAACTGCAAGTCAGGGGCTGAGGGCAGAGCACACAGACCTGGTTTTGATTTCCTCTCTGCCACTCATGTGTCATCTGGAGTCAGAGCTAGTGAGTCTCAAACTCTGAGCCTGTTTCCACCACTATAAAATGGGGATACATTTCCGTACCACACAAGATTCGGTGAACATACATATATATAAGCCTGGGGTAGAATAAATACCACAAATGTTCATGGTTATGCTGATCGCTCATGATGGGGGCAGCTGAGTCACAGAGTTTGGGGCTGGAGAACCAGCCCCTTAGGCCAGGCCAGCCTTACCCCCTGCCTGGTGTCTCTCTGGGTTGCATCCCACCTCTCTTTCTCCCATTCCTTGCTCCCTCTGCCTTCCTGGGAAACTCCCTGAGCAAGTCCCCAGCAGAAGAAGGCCTCATGTAGGATATTTCCATCCGGGATCCCCCACCCCTGCCACACAACCCCACAACCAGAGCCACCCCATACAGAACCAGGTGTCCCGGCCCTCAGCCCCCAACCATCCAGCAAGCTGATCCTCGTCATCACACTGGCTTTATTGGCCCTGAAAGCCACAGAGTAAATCCCAAGGGGGACCCCACTTCCCCTCACCCCCAAGTCTGTCCGGAGGTCCTGGGGGCTGGCTGAGTGTTCACCACTCCAATCTTGGCTTCCTGTCCCAGCTGTCATTGGCTTGCCAGGCCTGGGTCCTTTGAGAGCTCCCAGATCCTAGAGTCGGCTCAGCCTTGTTGGCAGGGGTCCTGCAGGAACTGCCCAAGGCCAGGCAGGCTTCACTCGAAGAAGAACATTCCTGGCGTCCGGTATAGGCAAGGGGTCAGTCCCAATGGGTAACCAGAGCCCCCCTGGACAGGAAAGCTGCCTGTAACCCAGGGTTCCTTGGGGTCAGCTGGTAGGGGCAGCGGGGCCCGCAGTGAGGCTGGAGGGGTGGGAGGCACAGGGGAGGGGGCTGCTGATGCCAAGAGGTGCTCAAGGCCTGGGTCAGTCCCCATGCAGAAATTCAAGGCCTGCAGCCGGCACTGGTAACTGCTCCCAATGCCCGCCTCAGGAGTCAAGGTGGGTGTAGGGGCTTTGCTAAAACCCTCAGCCTCAGAGAAACCAGCAGAAAAGCCAAATGCTGGGCATGGGGAAGACGAGGCGGCTACAGGGAGCTCCCCTGGGCCTGTAGGCTTGGGCGTGGGCATCTCTTTGTGCTCCGCGGATGGCCGGGACCTGACATCAGTGGTTGCTGGGCACATGCTGGTTGGCAAAGCCCCCAACAGGCCCCCAAAGCTTAGGCCCTTAGGCTCTGGCAGCTCTGCTGGGAATGAGCACTGCCTGCCAGTCGTGGCATCAGAGACTCCTGGGTCCTGGCTGGTCACTCTGAGGGGTCCACGGCGTGCCTTGGCAGGGCCCTTGGCAGCCCCAGCACCTGCCCTCCGGGTGAAGCGTCGGCGTCGGCGCAGGAAGCTGCCGTGCTCAAACATGTCATGGCAGTCGGGGTCCAGTGTCCAGTAGCTGCCCTTGCCTGGCTTGCGGTCATCGCGGGGCACCTTGACGAAGCACTCATTGAGTGACAGGTTGTGGCGAATGCTGTTCTGCCAGCCAGGCCGGTTGTGGCGGTAGAAGGCGAAGCGGCCCATGATGTAGCGGTAAATGCCGCTGAGCGTAGCTCGCTGCCCTGGGGAGCTCTGGATAGCCATGGCGATCAGGGCTATGTAGCTGTAGGGAGGCTTGGTTGGCTCGGCCGCAGGGGCCAAGGGCCCGGGTGGGGGCTGCTGCTGCATGCTGGCTGAGCTGGCCGTGCTGGCCAGGCTCACGGCTGCTGGGACCACAGGGACCAGGCACGGCGTCCAGGGCTGGTGTCCGGCACAGCCTGCCTGGGCTGGTTAAAAGGCCCACACTGGCCCAGCCTCCCAGCCTGGAAAGGCAAAAAGGGGTGGGCCCACCAGGCTGCCCTCCCTTCCTCCCTGGCCCCCCTCCTTCAAGGCCCAAGAGGGGCGGGCAGGAGAGGCCAGGATTGGGAAGCTGTAAGCAGCTGCCAGGGGTGAGGAATTGGGAGGGAAGGGACTGAGACCCTCAGCCCACACGTGCTGGGTCGCGGTGGCTGGGGGAGGGACAGGATGTGAAATTGAGGGAGACAGAGATAGAAACAAAAAAAGATAGAGGCAGGGATGTAAAGAGGGAGAGAGAGAGAGAGCGAGATACTGAATAAAAGACAGACAGACAAAGAGAGGTACAGACATAACAAGAGACAGCAACACACAGTGAGAGATAGAGGCAGAGACGTAGAGACACAAAGATAAGATAGAAAACACATACACGCACACATGCATGCACATAGTATACAGAAAAGGAATCACTGAGAGAGAGAAATAAAGAAGTCTACAGAGATAGAGAGAAAAAGGGAGATACAGAGAGAGACATAAGTACAGACACAAGAGAGGGAGGGGCAGAGAGACAGAGAGACACTCATACCTGATGAGAACCGAGAGAGGTAGACTCTAAGTGCTGAGCTATACAATGGGGAGTCTCCTTGAGAAAAGCCACAAGGGCCTCTCAAGTCCTCACCTCCAGTTCCCCTTTTCTCCTCTCCTCCTCCCAAGCCTGTGGCCTACTTCTCTTCCCCGCAGTGCAGAGCCTTTGAGGTCACACTATTCCCTGCCCTCCTGGCACCAGGGTGTATGCAGGGCGGGGCGCCTAGGATGGTGATGAGAGCTCGCCAAACCCAGTCGGCTGAGCCCTGGCGCCCTCTAGCGACTTGTGTGAGGAGGACAGCCATCCTAGCAGAGACATCCCCGCCCCCTCAAGAAGTGTCTGGAGCAAGTCCCTGACCCTGGCTGAGCTTCAGTTTCCCATCTTTAAAGTGGAGCTGGCGACTCTTTAGCTGTCCGGGCTGTGGTGAGGAGGCAACAGGCTCCCTTACATGGAATCCAGCACCCTCCAAGAGCCTAGCATAGAACAGGACACAGCAGAGGACTCTGAACTGAGGCTCCTTGCCAGCTGCAGCCTTGGGCCAGGAGTACAGCGAAGCCCAGGACAGACACTCAGGCCTTCTGAAAGATGGAGTAGCCTCCTCCATGATCTCTCACCTACAAGTAACCAAGACAGAGGGCACCTACTGTGTGTCATTCTCCGTGCTAGACCTGCTCACCTCCCTTCTCCACATTTACTTCTCAGACCAACCCTGCTCCAGCAGCCTTCAGAGCTTCCTTTGGATAGATGAGGAATCTGAGGCTCAGAGACGTTACGTGACTTGCCTAAGGTCACACAGCTAGTGAGTGAAAAACCTGGGATTTCAACCCAGGATTCTGTAACTCCATAACATTATCCTTCCTGTGAGGGGCAAGGGTAGAGGGCAATCACTGGGCTCCCACTGTGGGGACCATGCTGTTTTGCTCTATCCCCAGTGTCCAGCATTTTTACTTCATTTGTTGAATGAAGTAAAAAAAAAAAATAGAGATCCGATTGACTTCTGTCCTTTGTTGAATCATACAGTTTCACCCCATAAAAGAAGCTTATGAATATTATCACTAAACGAGATTTATTATATTGCCATTTGTAAGAGGAGTCCTATAAAGTCAGAAATCAGGAATGGAAAAAAGGTGTGATATCTGGGGCGGAAAACCGTGACTTGCTGACGAGGCAGGGTCAATTGCCTTCATGGCTGAGGGGCCTCCACCCAATTCTCAAGGACTCCCTACAACTTATAGTTTGCAAACACTGACAGTGCTTGGGGAGGGGGTGGACTCCTGGCTCCCACTTTGGCTTCTGCCTTAGCACTCTGTTTGGGGGCTTGCCTCAGTTTCTGCAAAGACACTATGTCCTGGTGCTGTAGTTCAGTGGTTAGCACCCAATGTCCTGGGTTCAGTCCAAATTCTCTGTTTTGGGATTTCCTCCCCTCCACACCTCCCCCCACCCCCCCCCAAAAAAAAGAAAATTGGGGCACTAGATGACCCTAGTTATAGGTGGAGGGAAGGATCTGGAAACTCAGCCCCTCAGAAGCCCGGCAATTCTTTTACTGGATGGCCCCACTCTAAACAACCCTGAGAATCTAATTATTGGTAAACTCAGGTTTCAGCAAAGCTTATAATGGATCAATCACAGGGAAGGTCTGCTTTAGGTAAACAGTTATAGGCATGCTGGATTCTCAATAAAGAGATGAAGTCTTGTGTCTTTTGCCTTAATTGCTGTTTCCAGAATCTCAAGGTCAAGTTCGGTTTCCATCTTCTGCCCCAGGCCCAGTTGCCAGGACAGATGCCTAGGCACTGCATTCCAGGGCTCCATCTCCTTGGCTGAGAGGCTGAAGGTCACAATGGGTTTCTGTTCTCTCCCAACCCACCTGGGCAGAGGGTAAGGGGAGGCCTCAAGTACAATGGCTCAGTTCGGGCAGGGCTGGCGTGAGATCTGCACCTTAAGGGGTGCTGACTTTAGAGGGTAGGAGAGGAGGAAGTGGTTGCTTAGGGCTGAGTCAGATGTACCATCAGGTCAGTGACACGTTTGGGCTGAGGGACTGGGAACCTGTGGCTGCAGGGGCACTGTGGCTGTGGCGCTTCGAGTGCAGGAGGAGCTCTCGGGCGAAGACTGGCTCCACCTGCAGGGGATGGGGTGGGGGACAGTGAGCCAACTTTTTCCACTACCCGCCCTCTATGCTCCTGTGGAAAGTCACAGCCCTGGTGATAGCCTTCTCCTCACATGCATTTTATATGTAGGGTTACACAGACCAGGGGGTCAAACGGCAGGTCAGGGGCAGAGCTGGGACTGGAGGGAGCAGTGAGGGGCTGTTAGGAGGGGCCTGGAGGGTGTGGTTCTCCGCTGGAGTGGTAGGTGACTCACATGGGCCATGATGAGCCGCTCCTCCGGCTGGTCCGGGGGGCCCGGATACTCCTCACCAAAGCACAGGCGGATCTGGTACTCAGGCTCCGGGCAACCATCCTGCAAGTGGGCCTGCAGTTCTACAGGCACAGAGACTGTAGGGGCTGGGCCAAGATGAAGCATCCCACCTGGTGCCCACCTGTGCTCATTTCCCTGCCCATATCCCCACCGTGCACCCATTTCCTAAGCCCGCTTCCACGTCCTGATTCCTGTCTTTATGTCCCACATCTGTGCCCACTTCCAGGGCTCATGCCCCATGCCTTGTGCCCCATGCTCGCTGTCCACCCCATGCCCATGGCCATTCATCTATGCCTATCTTGTGCCCAGTGCCCCAGTGCCCACCATATGCTATGACAACACGTGCCCAAGTCCTATGCATATGCCCCACACTCAATGCCCCAACCTGCCCTGCGACAACACCTCCCATACACCTATGTCCATATCTGTGCCCAGCTATCCTTATGGCCATATTTGTTCCCACTTCCAGTCTGTTTCATGTCCTTTGTTTCAGTGTCCACCCCATACCCAGCTTCCTTACGCCCATTCCCCTGTGTCGACATCTTGTGCGCCCACTCTCCTCTGTTCGTGTCCCTTTGCCCACCCTTGAGCCTAGCCACTCTGCCCTGCACCACCAGCGGTCCCACGGTCGCGCTCTTACCCGCAAGGAAGCGGCGCGTATCGAGCAGCTGGCAGGTGCTCTCGCGCTCCAGTTTGTTGGGCTGTGCCCGGTGCGGGGCCAGCGGGCCGCGCCAGTACACGCGGCCCTGGCACAGGCGCTTGGCGAATACGCCCTCGGGCGCCACCCACAGTAGCACGCCGCGCTCCAGGTGAGGCAGCAGGCGCTGCAGCACGAGGGCGCCGGGCGGCGGCTCCGGGAAGCAAACCTGCGCGATGCGCGGTGGCGGCCCCAGCAGGCTCTCAGAGGTGGCGGGGGCTGCCCGCGGGCTCAGTTGGCAGCCCTCGGCCGTACGCGCGATGGCTTCACGCACCAGCTTCGCCCCGTAGAACAGCCGCACGTGCAGCCAGCAATCTGCGGCAAGTGGGGAGAGGGCGAGCACAAAGCATTGGCTGACCCCTCCCCCCAACACGCAGGGCAGGGGACCCCCAAGGCCCCCCTGGCTCCCACCTCGGGAATTTTTGACGTTTCCTCCCGATAAGTGATAATAATCTAGTGGTGGTGATGGTGGTAATAATTGCCGCTTCTACTAAAAACAAACTGGTAGTTGAGCTTCAAACGCATAGGGCCTAGGACCCTCTGTACAATGGGGGCATGACACTGAGGCCCTTCCAGCCCATAGAGATTTTAGGAGCTTCTTCCCAACAAATATTTTAATAACAACAAAACAGCAGTCTCCCATGTGAGACTCCAGCAGTATGCTCAGAAGTTAGAGCTGTGGGCTCTGCAGTCAGGCCCTTGGATTCTAATCTCTCATGGCCACTTAGGAGCTGTGACCTGTTAGTAATTCCCAGGTTACTAATGGAGTGATCTTGGGCAAGCTTCTTAACTTCCGTGTCTGTTTTTTACATCTGTAAAATAGGGGTAATGGCAGGGTCTCTCTCTCAGGTCTGGCATAAACTAAGCCCTCAACAACATTAGCTGTCATTATTGGGAGTCTGCACTGGATGCTTTGGGTGGGAGACAGAGGCTAGCGGGCCCCAACCCCAGCCCTCCCCCATACTGCACAGTGGTCAGAGGGGAGGGCCTTCAGATTCCTTACCAGGGTTGCTGAAGTCCTCAGAGGGCGAGGGGCTCCAGGAGTGTGTAGGGTCTTGAGCCTGGTACCCTGGGGAAAGAGCAGAAGTAGCCAGGTGCCACCTCACCCTGGGTCCCTTGACCCCTAGATCAAGGTCTTGGAGGAGGCTGGGGAAGAGACAAGAGTGGGGGAGGAGACAAGGGCGGGTGAGGAGAGCCCATCCTTACTGTGGTCAGCCAAAGGGCCTTGGAGCAGGGCAGCTGGAGGCCGTGAGCCCTGCTGGGCCAGCGTGAGGGGCTGCTCCTTGTTCTTCTCTTCTGTGGCTAATCCAGAGCCAGCCTGAGCATCGGGAGAGAGAGAGGGTCATGAGGGTGAAGAGGAGTCCCCAAACTGTCTGCCCTGAAGCAGAGGGAGGTCTGGGCAGACTGAAACCCAGTTGGGGTTGACAGGGACTTTGAGGTTTCAGAGCTCAAGACCCTTCCCCCAGAAAGGTAAAGAGACAGTTGATGGGGTTGTTGGAGGTGATGGGGTCAGAGATGAAGCTCACTGTGATAAAGAGAAAAGTGCTAGGAGTGAATGGGGAGACAGGGAAGAGAAGTGATAGAGATAGGGGGACAGAGTGATGGAATGAATGTTGATAGGGGCATTAGGAAAAGTGGAATGGACCAGGCTGATGGGGGGATGGGGACAGAGCAATGAACCACTGATGATGGGGGAGAGGTGATGAGATAGAGGTAATAGGGGTGATGCAGACAGAGATGGAGCTGGAGATGATGGGGGTAATGGCAAGAGTGAGAGAGCTGGAGGTGATTAAGGGGAAGGGAATACAATGGTAGAACTGGATCTGATGGGGTGAGTGGAAGCAGAGTGATGGATCCAATGATGATAGGATACAGAGGGTAATTTTGGAGAAAATAGAGTTGATGCAGACAGAGTGATGGAGCTGAAGATGATGGAGGTGATGGGAACAGTGACAGAGCCAGAGATGATGGAGGTGAAGTGAACAGAATGATGGAGCTGAAAATGATTTGCAGAGATGGAGTAGAGATAAGAAGTAGAGCTGCTGGAGGGGTGGTGACAGAAGGGATGAGATAAATGTGCTGGAGACCATAGAGAGGGTGGTTTGAGTGAGAGATGACTGAGCTGACAAGGCTGCAGCGGCTGAGAGGGCACACTGACCTGGTCTGTCTTGCAGCCTGGCTCCATCCCTTCCCCAGGGGGTTCCTGCTGGCACTGGAGAATGTGTTCCTCTTCAGGGAGAGCACAAGCCCTGGTGACTGGATGGAGGAACAGATAGCCAGTTGTTTCCTGGGCCCCAGGGGGAATCCCATCAACTGAGATGATCCCAGACAAGAGTATCCCAGCTCACTGCATGATCTCAGGCAAAACCCACCTCTCTCTGGGTTTCTTCCTTTTCAAATGGGGAGATAAACTGGGTGGCCTAAGGCTCCTTTTGTGTTTACCTGTCCATGAGTTTAAACTCAGTAAGCCCACCATTTCTCATTTTACAGATGTGCAAAGTGAGGTCCTTATTGCCCCGAGAGCCATCTTTGGCCACTACCTCCAGGGGCAGGACGGTACCTGGGCCATGGGCACTCTTGGACACAATCCGGTAGACCTTGTAGGGGTTGGAGATGTCCAGCTGGCTGCGCTCACGCACCTCACAGAAGTCAGCACTCTTGTTGAGGGCACAGCGGAGCCTCGTCTTCCAGGTGGAGGGGTCCTCCTTGTCAGCGCCCTCTAGGTGCTTGCCCTTGTATATGGCCCAGGCCTGGGGATGAGCAGGGGTACTTGGGGAAGAATAGCTTGGGGGCCAGGGGCTGGTGTCACGAAAAGGGATAAGGGCCTGCCTTGCCTCCCACCCTTCTCTCTCTCCCTCTGACCTTCTGTCTCTCCACCCCTCCATTCTTCCCTCTCTTCCTCCCTTCTTCCCTCCCTCCCTCCCTCCACCCAACACATACTTCTTGAGCTCCTACTATGTGCCAGGCCCGAGTTAGGGACTGAATGGGGAACAAAACAGACATGGTCTCTGCTCTCAAGGAACTCAAGTCTAATGGGAGAAGACAGTTGCAAACAGCTCAATGGAAATAGCTATATTCCCAACTATGGACTGTGATAAATAAAACATAAATAGGATGATGGGACATAAAATAATGGCCGTGAATTGCTATCTGGAGAGCCATAAAACCAAATCCCTATCTATTGCCACATACAAAGTAGACTCCAGATGATTAAAAAAAAAACAAAAGAAGTAAAACTGTGAAATTAATAGAAGATAACGTAGGAGAAAAACGTCTAGGGGCAGAGAATGCTTCTTAAAGAAAACCTCAAAGTCATGGACTGTAAGGCAAAAAACTTACAATGTCTGAAATCAGCAAGGAGCCAAAATCTGAAACATACAAGAAACATCTACAAACCAACAAGAAACAGAGAGCATCCCCTAAAGAAAACACTCTTATCAAAGGACAAGAATGGGTGGTTTACAGATGAGGAAACCAGAAACCCATAAGCATATGATTACTTAAACTCATTAGTATCAGAGAAACGCAAATAAACATATGAGATATCACTTGTAAGCTGACAAAATTTAGCCAGTTGGATACCGCCAGGCGTTAGTTGGGATATGGGCACTGTTGGTGGGTGTGGAATGGGTACAGAGCTTCCGGATGGACATCTGGCATTCTTAGTTAAAATAAGTATAAACATACCCTGTGAGCAGAAATTCCAATTCCAAGGGAATTGTCACAGAGGCTTATGAGGGGACCAGGGCCAGGATATCCACTGCAGCGTGACTTGTGGTGCTGGAAAGCAAACTTGTGTCCCTCCCTGGGAAAGTGGATGGGGGTATGGATGTAATGGATGTCCATTATAGAGTCTATGAAGCTTCTAGAACAGCGGTTCTCAACCTGTGGGTCGCAACCCCTTTGAGAGTCGAATGACCCTTTCACAGGGGTCGCCTAAGACCATCGGAAAACAAAAAGATATTTACATTACGATTCATAACAGTAAGAAAATTACAGTTATAGAGTAGCAACAAAAATAATTTTATGGTTGGGGGTCACCACAACATGAGGAACTGTATTAAGGGGTCGCAGCATTAGGAAGGTTGAGAACCGCTGATCTAGAAGCACCTAGGAGTAACAAATTAAATGTACAGAGAACCAGAATAGATATATTCAGAGCATGGTCCTGAGTGTAAGGTAAGACACAGTGAGATCTATAGCACAATATGATGTGTGTAAGGTAAGAATACACACAAAACAGCCAATGCCCACTTTGCAAAAAAACAAAAAACAAACCCAAGATATTCATTAAACACATTAGAATGATTGTGTGTTGTAGTAGAGGTTGATGAAATAAATGAATAAGAAATATGAGGGGCTGCTTTAGAGAAGGTGACCAGAAATGGCCTCTTGGAGGAAGTGGCATTTGAGCTGAAGCCTGAATGAAAAGAAGGATGGAGTCTGACCAAGAATTGAGGGAAGGGTATTCTAGGTAGAAAGAACAGCAAGTGCAAAGGTCCTGAGGTAGGAAGAGATTGATAGCCTCAAGGAAGGCCAGTGTGGCTGGGGGCAGAGCAGTCAAAGGGAGGGCAGTAGGAGATGTGTTGTTTGCACTGATCACATTCAGAGCTTGGGGGTCACACTTAGTCATTGCTCTCAGAGATCCCTGGCTATAGGAAACATGGATGCCACACAGAAGATCCACATTCCTATGTTGGTGCCACTTGCCAGTCATGAGACCTTTAAGGCTTGAGTTTGTTGTCTGTAAACTGTGCCAATGATACCTAACCTCACGTGGTTGTGGTGGGTGTAAGATGAGAGGTCTATGTGAAGTGCTAAGCACAGCGCTTGGCACACAGTCAGTGCTTACTTATTATAGTACTTATTCATTATGTTAAGGGTATTCTAACTCAAAGGTAGCCTGGGCACAGGGCACAGGGTATTATCACCATGATGAGAGAAGGATCTTTCTTTTGTTTACTGCTGTGTCCTTAAGCACTTAGAGCGATGCCTGGCACACAGGAGACACTCGATAAATATCTGTGGAATAAATTGAGCTAGAACTTGAAGGGTGAGTAGGAAGGTGGAGTGACATTCTTGGCCGGGGGAGGAGCTTGAGCAAAGGCTTGGAGGTGTGATAGGGCATAGTGCCTTCAGGGAACAGTAATAAGCATGGTTGGTATGTGAGTCTGAGGGTATGTGTACAGTCAATTCTCGTCATTCGTGGTAGCTATGTTCTGGAAAATCTACACAAACACTGACTCTGACTACTGAACCACTGCTCCTAGGGGAAATTCAGGGCTAGGTGTCTGTGAGCCTCTGGTGACACCATTTTCATCAACCGATGAATACATAACCTTGTTTTATGTGTGTTTCTGCAGGACACTTTAATTGATATAAACAGTTGATTCATTAACATTGAGCTCAAGGCCAACAGCACTGTAATTCATTCACGCTTGAACGATGCTTATCTGACTCATATTTTCTCCGTAAGGCCTTCTTGTGCTTAGCAACACCAGACAGCACTTCAGCACTACGTAGGCCTGGGGGCTATTTTAAATTGTAAAATCACCAACAAAAAGGACAGAAATATTTAAAATATGCCACTAAATAGACCGTGGAAAGGACACTTGTTTAGAGCAGAAGAGCAGAGCGTCCCCCTGTTCACCCTTAGCTGGGAATGTGCACGTTGGTGAATCAGGTGTTTTGCCATTCTGTGCATGTTTGTGAAAGGCCACAAAAGTGCCCTGAGTATGGATTTGGGGATTACAGATTTTAGTAAGTGAATTTGCAAATACGAAATCCACAAATAATGAGAATCGACCATATGTGGTAGGGGGAAAGAGAAGAGGAATTAAGACTAGAAGGTTGAAGCTGAAACATGAATGTCCTCAAAGGCAAGCTTTATACTGTGGGCTGTGGGGACCAGGAAGGTGTGAAGCCACGGAGTCACATTTGTGTGTCAGTGGTGAGATGAGGGATGGGTCAAAGTAGCCAGCATGATGGGGAGGGCCAGGCCCCAGAATCTGTCTCCTCTGAACAACGGCATGTAAGTCTTAAGGGACAGGCCATGCAACCTCCTATTTGACACTTACTGAGCACTTACTTTGTGCCAGGCACCGTGCTCCACCCTCAAGCAGCTGGAGGAGACAGACTCATACAAAGCACTTATAATTCACAGGAAAAGTTGTTCCCGTGGGGGAAGCAGAAGGAATCAGGGATGGCTTGGGAGAAGCACTGAGTTGGAGCTTAATAAATGCATTAAACAAATGGATGCATCAGGGGAGACTCTCTTGAGGAAGAGGTGTTTAAGCTGAGCGCGATGGCAGCTGGCCAGGTGAATGTGAAGAGGAGAGAGTGTTCCAGGAAGAAGGAACAGCGTGTGCACAGGTCTAATGGTGAGAGAAACATGAAGCATTTAGAAACTGAAAGAACTGTCAGGGCGGGTCTAACGTTGGGGAGGAAAGGGAGTGGAGAGAGATGTGGCCAGGGAAGGGGAGGGGCAGTTCCTGTCCGACTTTGAGGCCACAATAAGGAGCGGGGACTTACAAGTACAATGAGGAGTGAGGGAGTGTCAAGGCAAGATTGACATTAAGAACGATCCCTCTGGAGGACTGAGGGGAGAGCCGAGGGACAGGGAAGCAGGGGGCTCAGTGAGGTCACTGTGGTTGTCCTGGTGAAAGACTGTAGAAAGGGGTCCAAGTAGGTGGACTGAAGAGAACTTCTGCGGGACAGGCTAGCAGGCCTTGGTACTGGAGTAGAATGAGACTGGAAGAGAGGGGAACAGCTAGGGCTGAGGTGCCTGGCTCTAAGGTCTGGGTGGCAATGGGTACCATCTTCCATTTTGGAAAACACAGACGTTTGTAGCAGCATGCTGATGAGCATGGTGCTGAGAATTTGCTGAATTTGAGAGGTCTGGAAGATGCAAGACCAGCAGGCTTGGGTCTCCTTGCTGTGGCTGTGGAAGGGGAGAGTGGGACATGAAGAGGGAGGTCCAGGGGTTCTGAGAGCCCCAGAACAGAAGGGGAGGGGGTGGAGACTGAGAAGCAGGGGCCAGGAAGGTAGGAGGAAACGGGGCAGGGTGAGGGGTGGGGTGGTAGGCAAAGGTTCTGGAAACCAATTGAGAATGTTTCAAGGAGGAGGGAGGGTCCCCCCAGGCCCAGACCTCCCCTCCCAGGGGTCAAAAAAGATGACAGTGATGGCATCCTTGGATTTGGCACCTAGAGACAGTAGCAGAGGGACAGAAGCCAGGCAGGGGTGGGGAGGGGAAGAAGGAATGGTGGGGGCGCTGAGTAAGGAGAACTGATGACCAGGAGACGCTTTCCAGGTGCTTCAAGCTGTGAAATGAGAGGGAGGCCAGAGGACGCAGAGCTGGAGGCACTGCTGTTTGGGGTGGTGTGGTGGTGGCCTGACATATGGTTGGTTGGTTGGTTCCTTATTACTTACGGGATAGATTCCCGAGTTTCAATGTAATAATGGGAATAAGCCAGTGAGGATGAAATTCATGATGACTGGAAAGGGAGGGCATTCCTGGAAGTTTCCCAGCTGGTGCTGGGAAACACAGAATATGTTCCCAAGCGCCTGGGTCGGCGGTTTGGGGGTGGGAAGTTGAGGGAGTTCCCATTGGGGGCGTCTAATATCTCGTTGGACAGGGAGGAGAGGCCGCTGAGAGGTAGAGACGGTGATTCTATTTTAAGAGGGTGTCTGAGGGTCTCCCATATATAAACACTATCCTCAACTTAGAGACGACTGTGGCTAAGGACCGTGTGCATCCAGAGCCCTCCCGGGCCAGGCCAGACTGGGGTCCCCGGGCCTCCGCCCCCTTACCCTAAAGAGCGCCGCGTCCTGCTGCGCCTGGTAACCCTGCTTGGCTGCATGCTTCCAGGGGATGCGGAAGAGGGTCTTGCCCGCGTCCTCCCAGCGCAACCCCGTGTAGCGCCCGCTTTCGATCTGCGCCACAAGCCAGTCGCGGAGACGCAGGGGACCCCCGGCCCCCGCCGAGGGTCGCCTGCCGTCGGGAACCTTCCCTTCCTTCCTCTGCCAGGGGTCGCCGGCCATCGGGGACGCAGTGCTCCGGGAGCCTGGTGGGCGGTGGGCGGTGACTGTACCCAGCGCCATGAGGGATCGCGGGGCCACCTGGGTGGCGCGCGGAGGCGGCAAAAGCGAAAGTCTGGCGGGCAGGTTTCGCTTTCTGTTCTGCCCCCTCTCCCTGAAGGCCCTTTCATTTTGCCCCTCCCCGTGTGGCCTGGCCCCGAGGGTGTCGGGCCTCTTGCCCGGGGCAGCTAGAGTTGCTGTGGGACGCCAAGACTCATTGGAGGGTGTGGCGTGGCGTAGCTCCGGCTCTGCCTGTCCCGGGGGACCAGGGGCACGCAGAGCCGTTCCTTGCCCCACCCATGCACCTGTTTTCTGCTCTTCCCAGCCTACCAAAAACTTGTCAATCCCTTTTCAGAAGTTGGAACGGGGTACTGCTTCTCAAACTAAGTCCCATAAGAACTGGGAGGCCTCCATCCCAGATCTGCCGAAGCAGATTTTAACAAGTTCCCCAGGCGATTCTGATCCATGGATCACGCTTGGAAAAGTATTACCTTAAATCTTGGGAGTCCCCATTTACAGATGCTCACCAGTTAAAGCGTTTCCTGCAGTGTCTTGATTGCTTCTCAGAACAGCATGTGAATGAAGATAATTACCCATTTTATTGTTAAGAAGACTGAGGCTCAAAGAGGTTAAAACCCTATAAGGTAACAGAGCTAGTGGGTGGGGGAGCTAGGATCTGAACCTGTGTCTCTCTGTCCCGGGAGCCCAGGAGCTTAAACAGTGCCCCACGGTGCCTCCCAACAGCTATGCCTGGAGTTTATGGATTCCTGGTGGGGGTCTGTGACCCCCTTGAAAGTGTATGCAATTCTTTTTCATGTCTATGCATTTTCCCAAGGTTTGTATTTTTTATTAAATTGTCAAATGGGGTTTGTGATATGAAAGAAGTCAAGTAGCTCAGACTGCTCCACACTTTGCTGTGTACATGGGGAAAATAAGGCTCCAAGAGAGAAACTACCCTCGTCTGCAGTGGGCACCAAATGGGGCACCCAGCCAGCATTGACCAGAGGCTGTACCTCATGTGTACCTGCCAGAGTGGCTTTCATATTCCCTACACTCTGTCCCTATATTCCAGCAGCCACCCAGTTTTGACACTTCTAGTCACAGCCAGGATTCAAACTCAGGCGTGTAGGGCTCCAAAGGGGCACAAAGCATTTCATGTGATTAAATACAAAACTATTTAAATCACACAAAATAATTGCATCCAGGCAGAAGTCTTGAGTGTGTCAGACAATCCCTTCATTTTTCTAGGTGGTAGAGTTGGAGTAATGAGGAGTGTGGGGTCCATAGGCAGATTGCCTGGATTCAAATCCCAAACCCACCACTTGCTAGCTGGTGACATTGGGAACAACCTGTTTCCCTGTCTGTTCAATAGCAACGCCTACTTCATAGAGTTGCTTGAGGATTAAATGAGATGCAGGTAAAGTGTTTCACACATTGCACCCATAGTGAGTGCTCAATAGATGAGTGGTACTATTATTGTTGTTGAGTCAGAATGTGGTGAAAAGAATAATGGAAGTAGAGGGAGTATCATGAAGAACCTGGAACAGCAGATCAAGGTGCTTTGTTTCATCCTATAGATGATGGGGGCCATGAGGGTTTTTAAACAGGGGAAGACACCAGTAGAAATAGAATGGTGTTTAAAACCCAGTGGATGGTGACACCACTAACCAGCCAGGACTACCGCAGGCTCCCTGCGCTCTGATGAGTCTAGTCACGGTGCTCTTCACACAGTCTTCTCCCTCAGGGCCCTTTTCAATGACTGTTCCCTCTGCTTGGAATACTTCTCCCCAGACAGCACGACAGTTCACACCCTGACTTATGTTTTCTTTTGTTTGTCTGTCTATCTGGTGTCTTTCCCACCAGAATGTCAGCAACATGAGGGCAGAGGTTTTGCTCACTGTTGTATCCCACTGCCCAGCACAATGCCTGCCACATAGTAGTTACTCAATGGACATTTGCTGAATGAATGCGGAGCAGGAAGTTGGGCAGCAGGTGGTTGTTTCATCCATCCCTCCACCCCCAAAGCTGGAACCTGGGCCTCCCCCCCAGTCCTGAACACAGTGCTTGGTGTGTAAGAAGAGCCCCATACAGGTGGCTATAGATTATAGCTGTTTCAGAGCCCTCTCAACGCCAGGTTAATTTTACTTTAGGAAAAATCATCCTGGAAATCATTTTGCTGCTTTATTGGGCTGCCTGGCCTATGAACTCTAGGTGGGAAGGATCATTCCCACTAGCTGGGGGGTGGATCTACCTCTCCAGTAACCTCCACGACCAGAAGAAGCTGCTTCTTAACAACTGTCATGGGATGCAAACTGCCTAGGTTCAAATCCAGCCTCCCCTTCTCTAGCTGTGTGTCCTTAAGCAAGCTGCTTAACCTCTCTGAGCCTCAGTTTTGGTCCTGGGATTAAGTGAACTCCTGTTTGTAAAAAGTCAGGCATGAGGGAGGCACTTACCAGTTAGTATTTGTGAATAGGGAATGGGAGGGAGCTGGAGAGGAGTAGGGGGCTCAGGAAGGAAAGGGGCTCAGAGAGGGGAAGGGGGTTCCAAGAGAAGGAGGGACTCAGGGCCTTGTCAGGAGGCCAGAGGAGAGATGGGATTGGGGGAGAGTGTCAGAGAAGTAGTCTCAGAATTCAGCCTTGAAGACAGCAGTTTTATGAGGGTGGCAGGCTCCTCAGGCCCCAGGGGATGCAGAGCCCTTCCCATCCCTGTTTCTTGCAGGCTCCTGGCCCCTGGAAGAGTCCTTGCTGTCGCACCCTTTCTCAATGACTGGGAGGCACTCAGACCAGCAGCTTCTGTGTCTCTTTAATGTCCTCCCCCCCACCCCCCACCCACCCACTTCCACTTCCACTCCCACAGCCTTTAAGAGGGGAGGCCCAGGTGCCTCCGCCCCCAGCCCAAGGACTAAGGCACCAGGTGGCTGCAGCAGGCCGGCCCAGACACAGAGACGCGTAGACGGAGGGCACACTATTGCACACGCAGACAAGCAGGGCGGACATAGGAGGCAGGCGCAGGGATCAGGACGCCGCGGGGCTCCCACAGGCTCTGGGCTGGTTCTGGAGGCCGTGGGAGGCCCAGACGCCTCCCGCAGGAGACCAGTCGGGAAGAAGAGGGGCGGGATCCTCACTTGCCGCCTTTGCGGGACAGACACCGCGGAAGGCAAGAGAAAGTCTGCTTGACCCGCGCCAGCAGCGGCAGCGGCCCGTGGGTTTCCCGGGGCGTCCGCGGCACCAGGCGCTGCAGGGTTCCCTCGGAGGCTGAAGGCTGCGGTGCGGGGGAGGCGGCCGAGGTCGCGGAGCCCTGCCGGCAGCGCTTGCACAGCGGGAGCAGCGCGCGCATCTCCTCCTCGTCGCGGAACGGGCTCTCGCCGAAGCGCTCCTCTAGCTGCCGGCGAAGCTGGAGTAGGGAGGGATGCAGGGGTGCGAGGGTCGGTGCCGGGCCTCCAGCCCGGTCCCCTCCCCAATCCTCACCGTTTCCGCCCTTCTTCGAGCTTTCCACACCTCGCTAAGGCCTTCCCTTTCCTGCGCATCCTCTTAGCCCCCCTTCGGAGTTTCTATCGCCCGCACTGAGCGCTACCCCCATGATTCCCTTCCCCTTTGATACTCCATCTTCCAGACTTGCTGAAGTGACTCCCCTGCCTGTACAGTGGGGATCACGGTAACCCCTTTTCCTGCACAGCAGCTCCACTGATACAAGGACTCTTTTCTTGCCTGCCTCTTTTCCTAAAGCAGCCTTGTAGACAAGCCTCTGGGTACCAGCCCGCCACCTGATGAGAGCCTTCCTGCACTTGCTGCTCTTCTCTCTGTCTCTGTTTCTCATCCCTTGTTCCCAGGGAGGTCTCAGTTCCTGACATCTCCATATGCCATCTACCCAGTGGCATAATAAGAGAAGGAACTGCTTTGGCCTCATCAAGGACCCAGGAGTGGTGTAGGAGATGGACATTTCTACCCCAAGAGGCCAAACACTCAAATGCCTTCATGTTCCAGGCAGGTAGAGCAGGCGGTTCTGGGACCTGGGTCCAGTCTGCCCCAAACACATTCAAATTCTAAATTAAAAAGGCCAAGAAAACAACTGGCTATCCAAACAAAACACACCTAGGAGCTATATTAGCCAAGGGCCATGGGTTTGAGACCCCAGAAAAATCTTCTGCTAGGTCTGAAGTACAGGCTAAATTCTTTCCAATCAGTGCTCAGCTCAAGTGGGAAGAAGGGTCTCCCACCCTGCCCCAGCCCATGCCCTTGCCCCAGCCCCTGCCCCAGCCCCTACCTTCCGGGAACTGCCCCAACCAAACTCTTCAAGCTGCTGCCTAAAGCCTGGGTTGGGGTTGGCAATGGGCCGGTTGGACTTGATGGCTTCAAGCACGTCCCGCCAGCCTAGCCCCGTCACAGTCATCACATATGCCGTCACGATGGTGGTGCTACGGGAGATGCCTGCAAAGCTGTGATTCCCCCCCCCCCAACAAGCTTTAGGTAAGGTCCAATCTCCTCTGTGCCCCCCCACCCCACCCCATCCCCACTTCAGCTCTCCCACCCTTGCCTCCTGAGCTCCAAGCACAAGGAATCTGCCTGGACCTGTCTGCCCGCCTCCAGACCTTTGCCCACTCTGTTCCCTCTGCCTGGAGAATCTCCCAGACATTCTCCCACATTAAAAGCCTGAGTGAAAATATCACTTCATTCATTCATTCATTCAACAAACACTTCCTGATCATCTGTTATTTTTCAGATACTGGGGATATAGTGGGGAGTAAAATAGACATGGTCTCTGCTGTCCTGGGGCTTACAGTATGGTTGGGGGAGACAGACACTGACCAGGGAAATGATTTCAGGTGGTGATAATTACTCCAGGGGCTAGGAGATGGTGTAGGAAGAGGTATTAATCTAGTGGTGGTGGAGGGGGGATTAAGGAAGGTGTTCCCAAGGAAGTGATGTCAAGCTGAGTCCTAAAAGAGGGGTAAGGATTAATAATGTTCTGGGCAGCGTGTAGGATGACCATGAGGTGGGAGCCTGGTGGATTTGAAGAACGAGGAGATGGCCTGTGGGACGGAGGAAGAAAGAATGAGAGACAAGCAGGAGGGAGCTGTTCCTATGGCTTGGGCGTCCGCTTGGGGCAGGTACTCAGTGAGAAGTTATGGAATGAATGACACCAACTGGGCCAGGGGCCCCTAGGAAGATTTGGGGGTCCTGTTTCCCAGCCCAGGTTTCACCAATTCCCTGCAGTATCGCCTCAAGGTCTGGAAGGGAGGAGAGGGAGCTGGAGCTATTGGAGGGTGTTCGGCTACTTGCATGACCTCACCTATCCCTCCCAATAGCCCATCATGTCAGCATTCTTTTCCCCATTTTACAGATGAGGCAATGAGGGAGAAACATCTATCTGGCCATGGCCACACAGCTGATAAAAGACGGAGCCTTGCTTTGAGCCCCCTATGGGCCTCCATCAGATGAAAGGTGGATTGTCAGGCCTTGTGACAGCTGGACACAATCTGCCACAGGTTCCTCCCTCCTCCTAGGAAAAGTGTGTGTGTTCCGCTCATAACTCACCAGTGCACAAGGCAGTTCCCCCCATTGAGGCGGCAACAGTGGATGAAGTTGATACATTCTTTGAAGTGCTTTTTGCTAGAGAAGAAAGCAACAGGGTAGGGAGCACTGGGGCAGGCCTCCTAGGAGTTGTCTCCCTCCCCATATATGGGATGGCAAGAGACAAAGAGCCTAGAGGTCCTCAGGTCAGCTAGCACGTTCAGTGAGTAGGGGCCAATACTATCACATGGTGTGTGTGTGTGTGTGTGTGTGGCAATAATGGTGGCATTTCAGGCGGTGAGAGAGGCCAATCATGGCAGATCCCATCACAGAGGCCGGAGCGTCTCCCAGTGGGTCCTATGGATCCTGTTTCCATGAGGGGTTTATCTTGACCTTTCAAGGAAATGGGTGGGAGGAAAGAGAGGAGTCCCCTCGCCTCTGGGGTCTGCAATCAGAGTACGTGGGGACAATGATGGTCAGCGAGGGGGTTGGCAGCAAGATTCCCAAGGGCAAGGGTGTCTTGCCTGGGTCCTTTCCAGGCTGGGGGTATTGCTGCTAACACGAACAAAAATCCTGTGTTCTGGGCCCCCATTATGCTCTAGGCCCTGTCTTAGACCCTCAGTCTGTGCCATGGGATCTTGGAAAGACTCCCTAATGCTAATCATGCTCCCATTTTTCCTCTCAGAGAAGGGAAGCAATTTGCCCAAGGTCACACAGCAGGTAAATGGCAAAGCCTGGCTGGAACCCAGATGTCTGTCTTAACTCCAAGGCCAGGAACAGGTTGAGCCTGACCTTTTCAAGTCCACTGGTGCAACTGATCCTGGGAGACAGCGTACTTTCTCCAGTTCATAGCTGAAGAGACTCAGCTCTGGGAGGTTAAGGGTCTTAGTTAGGGGTATAGGCAAGGGAGTTGCTGAGACAGAGTCAAACCTGGGCCTGGATGACCACCTGTGCTGGGGTCCCAGGACAGCTTTCTGGCCTGAGTCTTCTCTGTCCTCCCTCAGACCATCTCCCACCCTCCCTCCCACCACCACGGGAGGCAGCTGTCTGTCTCTCTGCGGGTCTATCCCAGGGAACTTACATGGGTACCTCAGGGGTGTCGGCCACTGGGATGCGAAGATAGGTTATGTCCTGCAAGTACAAAATACACACAGGAAGTGGGGGGACCCTTGCCTGCACCTCCTTATCCCAGCCTGGGCTGCCCAAGCACCTCATAACCTCAGGCCAGTTCCTGCCCCTCTCTGGGTCACTGTTGTCCTCTGTCCAAAATGAGTAGACGCCATCTCTAGGGGCTTCCCGGCTCTGACTGTCTGTGATTCTAGAACCTTCTGAGGACTTGATAAAAAGGATCCAAGGACCTTTCATTTAATAGCTGGGAAAGGGCCACTTAAAGTGACACCCCTCCAAATGAGGATTACAAAATTACATAGTAAAGAAGGACAAAACAGATTTTATTTTCTTGAAAAGAAAAAAAAATTATGAAAATAAGTTTATAGTTCATGAACTGTGGTTATAAAACTTTGTGCTAATCATAAAAATAATCAAGGAGTGAATTGTCAGTAGTTTTTCCAACAAACTTGCTCCGACATCCTTCACTTCATGCTTCACCTTCACACAAGACCGTAAAGAGGATTTTTGCCCATGTTCCAAGAACCTCATCACTTTTCTCAAGGACCTCTCTTAATTATTTGATATTTAAATGGCTCTTTTCAGGTGCCTGGGCCAGTGGCTAGGGGACCGCCCCCCTCCCCCCCCCCCCCCCCCATCATTTGTTAATGGCTTATTTAGGGAGTAAAGAGATACTCTAACTCACTTTCCCCAAGGTCACGCAATTCTGCNTGTGAGAGTCCAGCCTTTCTCTAACTCACTTTCCCCAAGGTCACGCAATTCTGCATCTTTTGCAAGGTTTGCAATTTCATTTTGCAACACATTTGGCTCTGGGTTTGCACGGCATTACCAAACCCTGACTGGTAAATTCACTGATGGATGGGGCGGGAGAGATTCTTGTGAGAAGAGGGGAGGGCTGTTGGAGTAGGGATTCATTTTGCAAGCAGTCATTTCATTAGTAAATGTATTCATGACTTGACAACAACATTCCTCATGCAATCTAGTGACTGCATACTCCAATTACTCCCAAACAAGCCTGTACTATAAAGCAAAATCAGACTCCACTGACCTGGAAATTTCTTCTTTGAATGACATTGAGAATCGCAGATTATTGGAGGTTGCTCTTAGAGATCATCAAATCAGACACATAGGGAAACTAAGGCCCAGAGAAGGGAAGGCTCCTGCCCAAGGTCACAGAGCAAATCTGGGAGAGAACCTGGTCTGGATCTCAGATCTCCAGAACCCTTTCCCACCCACAGTTCTTTCCCTTCAGGGGGTGATACAGACTTTAACAGATAAGGAGGAGGGGATTCTGTTTATGGGATTAGAGTATGACTAACTTTGTTATTATATCAGCTGTAATTTGTTGAGCACCTATTCTGTGGCTCTCAACAACTCAGTGAGGTCGGTACTGTTATAAAATTCCCTTTACAGATCAGGCAGCTGAGGCTCAGAGAGGTGAAGTCCTACGCACAAGGTTACAGAGAGAATAAGTGGTGAAGATGGACCTCCTGACTCTAGCATCTGTGGTCTGGCTTTCCTGCTTTCTTCTTCTGGGTTATAACATCCTCACCCCATCTTTTCCAGGACTCGATATTACCAGCACCCACCACTCCAGTGGGGTGGTCTTACACCACCATGCAAGTCATCTTCACCATCCCACAACCCCTTTGCCTCATCATAACAGCCCCCTGGGAGCAGATAGGGATGAGGGATCAAAGGCCCAGAGTGGTAAAGTCACAGCCCCAGGTCACACAGCAAGACACAAAGCCCAGAATCATTCATTTGGAGTTATCGATTCAGTTGGGCAAAGGGAAGCCCATGTGGGAGCTTTTTCATGGTTCAGTGTGAGGTGTGTGGGGCCAGATGGCCTGTGTTCAAATTCCAGCTCCTTAGCTTCCTGTGTGAGTTTAGGCAAATTATTTAACCTCTCTGGGCCTCAGTTGCCAAATAGGGATCAAATAGGGATACTAACATTCAACAGCCCAGTTTTTAACCGAATGAGTTAGCATGGGTCAGGAAAGCAGTATAGGACCTGGCACACAGTAGGTACATGATAAATGGGTGCTGTGGGGGTTCTGGAGCTCCCCCACCATCTATGCACAGCCTTGGGATGGGGGTAAGGAGTACCTGCAGCAGAGGCTGGGGTGACTCATGAATGGAGATGATGTGTGTGATCTTATTCCGGCCCAGCTGATCCGGGTCTTTGGCATCTGAAAGAAACAGGAAGCCTGAGCCAATCTGGCAGGTGTGACTTATGTGTTCCTGATGGCCAACTGAGACCCATGCTCCTTGCCAGCTCTCCTCCTCTTCCCCATTGGCTGACACTCCACCAACTCCCCACTCCTTGACCACCTCCTGCTCCCAGCATGACAGGTCCTGCCACACCCCTAAGCTCTGGGGTACCCACAAGTAACAGTTCAGCATCTCCCCCACCTTGCCCGTGCTGTTCTTTCCATCGCAAAAACTATTCCCTGGCGTATCCCTGACCCAGCAATTCTACTTCTAGGAATCTTGTCTAGAGAAGCGTTTGCTCACACAAAGGCCACGTGTAGAGGGCAATAGTCTCTGCAGTGCTGCTTGTAACAGTAAACACATCAGAAATAGTTAAAAATGAGAACAAGCTAAATGTCCATCAAAAGAGAGCTGGATAAAAAAAAAAAAAGACATATACTTGAATACTATGCAGCCACTAAAGAGACCTCTATGTGCTGATGCGCATAGATGTCCAAAATATATTAAGTGGGAAACACAGGTGACACAACAGCATGCAGAATACGTTTACATTTTGTTTTAAATCTGTATTTACAAAGAGATATGAAAAATGACCTAGGGGTATCCCCCACATTGCTATCAGTGGTCATCTCTAGGGGCTGGATTTCTAGTGTATGCAGACCTTGTACAATCAGAGTAAATAACACACATCCCCTCTTTCTCCATATGTCCACGTTCTCACTCAACACATTTACTGAGTGCTTACTATGTGCAGCCTTGGCTGGGCATGAAGGGATGGGGTCAATTTCATGGCCCCTGCCCTCCTGGAGATTCAGACCTTACTTGGCCAAATACTCAGAAATCAGTGTGGAGTGAGCTGCTGAGGTGGCTCGAAGGAAATAAGGGATCAGGGTTTATGAGGGTGGAGCACCTAAGCCAGTGGGGGACAGGGTGGAAGGCCCTGTCCCAGTTCAGATGCCCCTTCCTCTCTGAAGTTCTCTCTGACTCCGCAGATGGAAGTGACTTTTGCCACCTTGGGTCCCCTAAGCCTGGGACCAGCTTGTTTCTGTGGCCTGAGACAGGCAGAATGCATGGCCTTGGGACAGAGTGGCCAGTGCTCACCAATGAAATTTCTGAGGCAGAGTCCAGTCTCCAGGACCTCTCCTCTGAGCAGGCGGTTGTGGGGGCAAGGGTCCCTAGTTTCCCAGCTAGAAGCAACACCTCCAAACAGACCTCACCCCAGAACCTCAGAGCTGGAAGAGCCCGTAGAGGCTGTGGGCCTTGTGCTGAGGGAGAGCCTGAGGCTCAGAGCAGATGCAGGCTTGCCCAGCATCCAGCGTCCTTTGCACTGTGGCACTCCCTCACCCACTTACCCTTTAGTCCTCGTGAGCTCTTTCCTCTGCCAGCCCAGCATCACTTCCCTGCCCACCCCCTCACCACCACCAGCTCCATTCCTCAGCTCCTCCAAGGTGCGTGGGCCAGAGCATGAATGGTGGACATGGGCCTGGGATGGGCAGAGTGCCAAGGCCTCTGGACAGAGTGGGCAGTGCTCACCAATGAAGTTTCCGAGGTAGAGTCCAGGAAGTACCTACAGGAGAGACAGGCAGCGTTAGCAGGGTAGGAGAGCAGCCCTGCCCACCCCGATGGTTGGGGCCTGCAGTGTTTCTCTGTCCCATGAAGGGTGTCTGTACCTCAGGACTTGGGGAGCGGGAGCACTCTGCTCCTTCTCATGGGCCTGGACTCTGTGAGAGGGTGGGGAGGGCAGGAGAGGACTCCAAGGGAGGCTGGCTTCCTAGGGGTGAAAGAGGACAGAGAGGGTAGGGGAAGCACAGAGGAGGGGGCAAAGGAAGAAGGCGGACTTTGCCAGGGTGGGTGGTGGGGACTTCTGAGGAGAGTGGGGAGGCAGGAACAGGAGGAGGGTTATGCAGAGGTAGAGGGGGAAAGGACGGACAGGCAGCTCCAGAGAGAGTCCAAGGAGTCAGAGACAAGGGAGACAGACACATGGAGCCAGAGACAGGGACTGAGAGAGAGGTGGGGTCCGGGAGTTACAGGGAATCACAACAAGGAATACAGAGTCATGAAACAGGCAGAGACCGGCACAGAGAGACAGAGACCTAAACAGAGACACAGAGATACAGCTCCAGAAAGATACAATCTAAGAGTTCTAGGGAGACAGAGACATAGACACTCAGATTCAGGGAAAGCCAGAAGGTCAGAGGGGGGCAGAGCGACCCAGTCCCAGGCGGGCACCGTGGTGGGGACTGCGGGTGTGCAGGTGCGGGCTGCGCGATTCCCCCCACTCTACCTTGGTCATGCCATTCCCCATGATCCCGGGGGCGGGGGTCCGGGCGCACCCCCAGCTCGCCGCCCGGAGAGCGCTCGGGTTACAGCTACCCTGATGGCCCAGGCCCGGGGCCTGCAGCCTGGCGGGGAAGAGGGGGCCTGGCGTCCACAGCCCCGCCCAGCCCTGCCCAGCCGCCGCCGCCGCCGCCGCCACTGCCCGCCGACTGCGGGCCAAGAAGGGAAATGATGGTGGAACCGCCGCCGCCGCCGCCGCCGCCGCCGCCGCAGGCTCCTCCTACCCCCTCGGTCATGTGGGGGCCCCTCCCGTGGGTCGCGGCGCGGGGCTGGACAAAGCCCCAGTGTGCCGGACCCAGGGCCCGCGGGACAACGGCAGCTTGTTGGGGCCGCGTGGGACCGATACCTCCGGAGGTGGGGGCGGGGGCGCTCCCCCCACCCTGGCACTGTCAGGCGCTGGCAGGGTTGGGGGCGGAAAGAGCCCCCAGCCGCGGGCTCAGAGACTCAGATTCCAATTCCGGCTCTGCCTGGCCTTCCCTGCGGGGCCCTGGGGCAAAGCACCTGGCTCCTTCGGCCTCGGTTTTCTAGCAGAAACGTGATGGGGGCTGGACTTTGATAACTGTGGGTCCTCTGATCTTCAGATTCTGTTTGAGACAAGAAAAGTGGGTAATTACTTCCTTCAGTAATCACCTCTCCTGACCTGCTCCCTATGAAAGCACCCTACCAACTAACCACCCTCCTCCCCCATTCATACAACCATCTGTCCTCCCATCCTCCAGTCCATCCATTTACTGGTCCATCCATCCATCCATCCATCCATCCATCCATCTATCCATCCATCCATCCATTCTCCCATCCCTTCCTCCCATCCACTTTGGGTTCTATGTGGATAGTGCCATTTGGGTCAGCTCTGCGTGGACCAGGCATACCTACTCTCAGGGCCCCCAAGAAGTCAGAGGTAAATGTGAGGGAAGGATTGCAGTTGCCTGGGTCCCTTGGAGTAAAGGAGACTACAACAGGATGTAGTTGGAGGCTAGAGTCCTGGAAGGTGAGTCTGGAGACCAAGGTTCCAGGCCCTATTCACCTCTAACCTAGTGGGTGACCCTGGGAGAATCCTCTTGGGTCACAGCTGCCCTAACTGTGTGTCTCAGTGTGTTGAGGTGAGCCCTTCCTGCTACTAGGACCAGAGTTGAGACCAGACACCTCCTATGGGCCTGAAATAGAAGCAGTGGAACCAGCTTTGTTCCTCCAGCCATCAAGCCTTGCGCCTCCCCACCCCTTCTATAGTAGTAGGTGACTGTAGGAGGAATGTCAGTACAGAGCAGGACAGAGAGTTGACAGAATCTGTTTGAAATACAGCCACTGGAGAAAAATAAAACTCTTATGTGTTTCTTTATTCTTCAAATTCACAGTGTACATGGGGCTGCCTGTCTCAGCTCTGTCTGTGCCCAGGGCTCTCATAAAAACCAACTTATTCAACAAATACTGAGCACCTACTACATGGTAGGTTCTGGGGACAGAACCTACCTTCACTGGCTAACAGTCTAGGTCAGGGGTCGGCAAACTGCGGCTCACGAGTCACTTGTGGCTCTTTGTCTACGTTCCATTTCAAAAGTTTGCCGACCCCTGGTCTAGACCAGCACTGTCCAGTAGAAATACAGTGTGAGCCACATGTGTGATTTTCAGTTTTCTAGAAGCCACATTAAAAAAAGAAAGAAACAGGTTGATAATAATGTATTATTTAGCCCAATATATTAAAAATATTATTTCAACATGCAGTCAATATTTAAAATTTATTAATGACATTTTCATCCTTTTTATTGTATTAAGTCTTTAAAATCCAGTGTGTAGTTTACACTTAGAGCACATCTCAATTCAGACCAGCTCCATGTCAAATGCTTCATAGCCACATCATCTGGCTGGTAACTACACACTGGGCATCTCAGGTCTAGGAGGGAAGGAAAACAAAACAAGCAAACAGACAAAACATTTACAAATGGTCACAATTTTCTATGCAGGAAACAAAAGTAGGGCAGGAAGAACCTCTCTAAAATAGGTGACATTTAAGCTGAGACCTGGCATAGAAGGACACAGCTATTTAAAGAGTGGAGAGATTTCTAGCAGCAAGAACAGCATGGGGAAAGTCTCTGTGGTGGGAAAAGCAAGCTTGCTTGGCTTTTGGGAAGAACTGGTGGGACTGGAGGGAGGGAGTCTAAGGAAGGTGGTAAGAATGAGGCTGAAGAGGAGAGTGGTGATCTAGCAAGCAGGACCATGTATGGCCATGATTGGGAGTTTAGGGTTTTCTCCTCCGTATGATGGAAAGCCAATTGGAAAATTGAACTGGGGAAGCCATGTCATGTGATTTACATCATAAGCCTATCGCCTTGGCCCCTATCTGGAGTGTAGATTAGAGAGGCAATGCAGGGAGGCCAGTGAGAAGTTTACGGTGGCAGCCCAAGCAGGAGATGATGGTGCCCTGGGACAAAGTGGGAGCCTAGAAGCTGGAAAGAAGGGGACAGACTCAGCATATATTAATATTTTGGAAGTGCAGCTGGTAGGATTTGCAGGTAGATTGGATGTGGGGGGAAAGGGAGGAATTGTAGGACAATTCCTGGTTTTCCTGCCTTGGAAATCACTGTCGGCGCTACAGACAGTAGATATTCATCCATTCAACAAATATTTATTGGGCATCAGGTTACAGATGAAAACTTGCACCAAAGATGTGCTGATGTCTGACTTGAGTTTCTCAGAATGCCCGACCCCATGGATGATCTAAAGAAATTCTGATTAGTGGGCCCAAAGTCTAGTCCCTCATCATGGCCCTGGCCTTAGCAGCTCTGTGAACCTGGGCAGGTGACCAAATGCCCTGGGTCTGTTTCCTTACCTGTAAAGGGGCAATTATAACAGCACTTTGAACTTCTACTTGGTTGTTGGGAAAAATCAAATCATATGCATGAAAGAACTCTATCAGGTTAAAAGACCTGAAAAAAATAAAACAACCAGATATAGTTATTAGATCTAACATATTTAATATCTATGAACTGTTCAGCCTTTGAAAGTGTTATTGTAACAAAGCCCAATTTGCCTTAAATAAGTCATGAAGTGGCTGTTTTATAAAACCAATAATAAAAAGATACTAAAGTACAGGTCTCACCTTGTCATTTTCTTGCTTGAGCTCCTTCAGTGGTTCATTGTGGTAGGCAAAATAATGGTCCCCCCAAAGATGCCCATGTTCTAATTCCTGGAACTTGTGAATATGTTATATTACATAGGAAGGGGGAACTAGGGCTGCAGATGGATTAAAGTTGCTAATCTGGGGACCATGAAATGGGAAGATTATCCTGAATTGTTCAGATAAAAACAATGTAATTACAAGGGTCCTTATAAGTGGAAAAGGGAGAACAAAAGTCAGAGGGAATATGATGATATAAGCAGAGGTTAGAGTGGTACAATTGCTGGCCTTGAAGATAGAAGGGGGCCATGAACTGAGAAATGCTGGTGGAAAAGCAGAGAAACAGATTCTCTCCTAAAGCCTCCAGAAGGAACTCAGCCCTGCTGACACCTTCATTTTAGCCTAGTGAGACCCACTTTAGACTTCTGACCTCAAGAACCATAAGCTAATACATTTGTGTTGTTTTAAGTCACTCTGTTTTGTGGCAATTACAGCAGCAATAGGAACCTGATACCCTTACCAAATACCTTTAGGAAAAAGTCCAACCTGCTTAGTATAGCGTAGAAGGCCTTGTGGGATCTGGCTACAGCCATTGTAACCTTGAGCATATTTATTAACTTCTATAGGCCTCAGTTTCATCATCTGTAAAATGGGGAAGAAAATATCCTTATAGGTCTGTAATGAGATTAAATGAGAGGGCATATTTATAGTACCTTGTAGAGACTGGCACACTGTTATTATTATCATGGGACAATTGACAGGGAATTAGTAGGCCTGAGTTCTACTCCCTCATTAAAGCTCTATTTCCACATCTGTAAAAGAGAAAACAAACAAAAACATACAGGTTTGGCAGCCTCATCTCTCACTTCTCCATTCTTTCCTGGTCATTGATCTGCATTCACTTACTCAAACATGCTTTACTTTTTCTGACTTCCGAGTTTGCACATGCCATTCCCTCTACCTGGAATGCTCTTCGCATCTCCTTTACCAGAGTAATCCCCATTTCCTCCTGGAAGTCTTTGCTGACCCCACTTAGAGTTGATTAGACCCCCGCTGTTAAGCATTTCCAAAGCACCCTAAAATTCTTCTATTGTAGTACCGATTTTCTTTCATTACTATGGCTTGTGTGCTTTGTGTTTGAAAAAACCAAAAAACCAAAAAAACAAATCCGGATAAGAATACTTTGACCTGTTTGCTTCAATTGTGTTGTTTAAATAAAACAAAACATCCCAAATAAACTTGAAGTAGTTGAAGTTTCCATTTCCTCTGTCTTCCTTCACTCTCTCCTCACAGATAACCACGATCATGAATTTGGTGTACAGCTTATCAGTTCATATTTAAAAATTTTAATACCTATATACTCATAAATATATAGAATATACTTTTGTATGTGTGTTTATAATTAATACAATTTGTAACCTTTAAAAATATTATTGTACAACTTTCTTTGATTCACTCAACAATAGGTTTTGGAGATATTTCCTTGTTAACATAAATTGGGATCACTCATTTTTATCATTGTATAGTATTATGTTATTAGACTATACCCCATTTTATTCATCCATCACCCTACTAATGGACATTTAAATAGTTTCTAATATTTTCCACTATTATTAAGAATGTTGCAAAGAACGTCCTTATACGTATGGCCTATGCACAGGTGTGAGAATTTCTTTAGAAAAGGTTGTCGCCTTGCACATTAGCAGCAAAATGATAGTCCACGGGGTGTACAGCTGTATTTGGAGAGCCTATAAGATATAGGTCCAGTAGCGGAACGGATGAGTTGTAAGGTGTGTGCATCTTCAACTTTATGAGATATTGCCAAAAATTGCCTTCCAAAGTGTGAGTGTACCAGCAGCATATTACGGTTCCTGTTTCCCAACAAGCTCACAAAAGCTTGGCAATGATATATGTTTTTATTTTTATCTAGCTGGATTAAAATTTTTATTTTATAATTGTTTTGATTTACATATCTCAATTTTCTTATTGGCGATTTGAGTTTCTTCTGCTGAAATTTTCTTACTCATCTATTTTGCCCATTTTTCTTTTTTTTTTGCAAGTTGGTGGGGGCAGTCTTTTTCTTAATGGTTTGTAGAAGTTCTTTGAGTGCTAGTCCTTTGTTATATATGTTACAGATATTTCTTCCTAGTTTGTGGCTTTTCTTTTAATCGAATCTACAGTGTTTTCTGCTATATGGCAGTTTGAATTTTGAGAGAGTCACAGATCAGTTTTTTCCCTTGTGAGTGGTGCTTTATTATTGCTCATTTAAGAACTCCTTCCCTACCCTGAGATCATAAAAATATGATATATATGCATATATTGGGTTGTCTGAAAAGTCAGATGCATTTTTGCAATGAAAAACATAGAAAAAATACGTCATGACTTTTCTGACAACTCAATATATTTCTAATAGTCTGAAATATTTGTTTGCTGTATTTATTTTTTAATCCACTTGAATTAGGCATCTATTTTTCACTCCAATAGAAAGTGGTTTCTGGAAGCCATTTACTGAGCCCTCCATCCTTTCCCCACTGATTTATTATGCCACCTCTATTGTGCACACACACACACACACACACACACACACACACACAGTATCTGTTTCTAGGATCCCCATTGTCTTCCATGATATTTGTCTCTCTCTGCATCATACCGGGGACTTTATAGGCAGAGAAATGTCTCCTGTCCCAACACATACACTTCGTTGTTTTGGTTTGACAAGGGCTCTCAGAAATCCTGATCAGATTTGGGAAAATACACGTCTTTGTGTTGATATTGAGTCTTCTCCATGTTCGTGGTATAGCCCTCAATTTATTCAAGTCCTCTTTAATGTCCTTAAATGTTTTGTCATTTTATCTATGAGAATATAAACTCCCCAAGGGCAGATGTTTGTTGGTTTCGTTCACTGCTCTATCCTGAGTCAAGAATGAGACATGACATAGTGTACATGCCTAATAAAAATTTGTTGTTTAATGAAATGTCTTGCATATATTTCGTTAGATATACTCCTACCTAACTTATAATTTTGTTGCTATAAAATAACAATAAAAATTAAAAACAAATAGTTTCTAGTCAGCTATGGTTGGTATACAAATCTTGAGGTAGTGGAGAAGAGAGAGGCAGGAAAGGACAGGGAGCCGGCACAGGGTGCAGTGACGAATAAGTTGCCACTTCAGGTTATACGCAGGGGAAAGACAAGGTCAGATGTGTGTTTTAAAGAGCTCGTTGGCGCAGTGCAGAGAATGAATTGGAATGGATAGGGCAAGAGTGGTCACTAGTAGACTGGTCAGGTGGCTACTGCAGGCGTTGAGGTGACTCCTGGGGTTGGTGTCTAATAACTGAGGGACCAAGTAAGGAAACTTAGAACCGTTGCATTTATTATACCAAAAGCTGACAACTTTTCAGACTGAGCGCTCTTAAGTCAAGCGAAATGCAGCTGAAAGAGGCGTTAGACAGTGAATGCCCGCGGCGGGGAGCCAGTCTGGCCGGGAGTGCTCCAAGGTCGCGGAGTTGTGGAGGCGAGAAAGATTGAGGGGTCTGGCCTGCCCGGGCCGGCAAGGACTTCTAGCGGCTCCGGTCTGTCTCCTGAGCCGAAAGGCGTGCTCTTGGCTCATCCAATTAGAGCGGCAGATCAGGGCGCCCTCTCCGTCGCCTTGGCAACAGGACGCACAGGCTCACGCGGGCGAGGCGGCGGTTTGGGTCAGGCCCTGGGGAATCGTGTCATGTCACGACCGAAGGTAGGAGTGCAGCCCGATCCAGACGGCTTCATCGTCCCTCGAGAGAGGGAGGGAAGCCTCGGAGAGATTCAGAGTTGGGGGGGACTCCTTGCGGAGGGATTCCAGATAGAGGGCGAAAATTATGAATTCAGAGAAAAGATTACAAGTCCCGGCTTGCCGCACTCTGTCAGAGCCTCTGCACGAGCCCAGGGAACCAGACTTACGGGCGGGAAATCGACAAAACTCTTAAGATTCCGAACTGCTCTCACCGATTTCTGTGACCCCGGGGGAAGCTCAGCATTTTTTATTTCCTGACTTGGAAAAGCTCTTAGAGATCTATTCATCCTGTCTTGCCTACCTATCCATCCATTCATCACTCATCTAGCCAAAAAAACGCTATTAGTGCCTTTTCCAAGCTGAGCCCAGTGCTGGCCAATGGGGACACAGAGGTGAACCAGACAAGCCCCTACCCTCTAGGAATGCACAGGCCATCTTCCCATTATATATTTTTTAAACCTTCAACTTTTTTTTTCTTTTTTTTTTTTAGAAATTTTATTGGGGAACAGAGTGTTTTTTCAGGCCCCATCAGCTCCAAGTCAAGTAGTTGTTTCAATCTAGTTGTGGAGGACGCAGCTCCATGGCCCATGTGGGAATCCAACCGGCAACCTTGGTGTTAGGATCCTACCCTCTAACCACCTGAGCTAACCGGCAGACCACCCCCTTCACCCTCCACCACGGCCACCCTCACCCCCAGTCCATCTCCTCCATTTTAAGAGTGGGAAAAATCAGACCCAAAGAAGGGAAATGAATTACTCTAAAACCCAGCTCTCCCCTCCCAAACCTGTTTCTTATCCAGCATTCCAGCTCTCATGAAAGGCACCTCCGTTTAATTCCCTCTCACAACAAAAAATGTGTGATTACTTTGGGCCTACCCAGATAATCCAGAATAATCTCTATTTTAAAGTCAGTTAATTGAGAACCCTAATTTCCCTTTGCCATATAATGTAACATATTTACAGGTTCTGGGGATTAGGACGTGTACATCTTTTGGGGGAGCATTATTCTGCCTACCTGAATATACTATCATCAATTTAAAAATGAAATTAAAAAATAGTACTTATAATAGCATGACAAAATCAAATACCTGTGAAAAACTAATTAAAAACATTCAAGACATATGCTGAAAACTAGAAAACATTGTGAAAAAAAATTGAAGAAGACTTAAATTAATGGAGAAAGACCATATACAAAGATTGCAAGATTCAATACTTTATAATGTCACTTCTTCCCAGAATGATCCATAGATTTAATGCAATTCCAATCAAAATCCCAACATTCTTTTTTGTAGAAATTAGCAAGCTGATTCTATATGGAAGTGCAAAAGACCCCAAATTGCAAAGACAATCTTGAAAAATACGAAGTTGGAGGACATGCTATCTGATTTCAAGATTTACTAGAAAGCAACAGTAATGAAGACAGTGTGGTAGTGACCTAAGAATAGACAAATAAGTAACTAGAACAACATAGAGTCTAGATATTGACCCACATACACACAATCAATTGAATTTTGCCTGAAGCGCCAATGCAATTCATTGAGGAAATTTTGCAACCAAAGAGTCTGAAGAAACTAGATAAACATATGGAAAATGGAACTGAAAACATGAGGGAGTGTAAAAGGTAAAATACCAGATTAGGACACTTTACTAGTATTGGGGAAGTTGGTGGGAGGGGCTTGACTGGACCAGTGGGATAAGATTTTACTTGCTTCTGTGGGGGAGCTTGCTTCTGCCAGTTTGTAGAGCAGTATTTTCTATCCCTCTCTGCCACTCTTTGAGGAGTAGGATGGTGTGGTAGGCACAATTTTAGATGTCCCCCAACATTCCTATGTCCAGTGTTCATACCTTGTATAATTCCCTCCCCTTAAGTGTGTGTGGAGCCTATGAATTTGATGGGATAGTTACTATCATAATTACGATAGGTTGTATAAGACTCCACTGTGACTAACTTGGAGGGGGGAGGGTTGGGAGTCAGAGGATGTGCTCTTGCTGGCCTGGAAGAAAGCAAACATCCATGTTGTGAATTGCCTGTGGGGACCAGCACTCTCTAGAAGCTGAGCACAGTCCCCAGCCAATGGCTAGCAAGTAAATAGGGACCTCAGTCCTACAACCCCAAGTAACTGAATTCTGCCAAACAATCTGGATAATCTTCAAAGAGGACCCCAAGCCCTGGATGAGAACCATAACCTAGGCCATCACCTTGATTGTAGCTTTGTGAGACCTGAGCAGAGGATCCAGCTAATCCACGTCCAGGCTCCTGATCCATGGAAACTGTGAGATATAAATTTGCCGTTAAGTTTGTGATAATTTGTCATGCAGTAACAGAAAACTAGTGCAGATGGCAAGTCTGTCCAAGCTGCAGAGATCATCCCACACAAGACCAGTTCTGATTTCTTTTTTCATACCTGCCATTAGGGATCAATCAGTCTTACCAGGGCAGAGGGCCAAGCTGTTTTGGACATGGTAGAAGCAGAATAATACTCACCACCCTTTGAGGATTTGAAAGGTCTATTTTGGATGGAGGAAATTAACTTTGCTCAGAGTCTTGGATCTAACCCCCTTTCTGGATCATGGATCTAATCAAACGTTCCAAGTTAGAGTAGAAGGTCCAGATCCTTTTCACAGAGCTGAGCTTGGCTCTCAAAACTGGGGTTCAGGATTGGATCTCTGGAGCATTGAAAACTAGGTCATGCCTGTGGAGCAAGCCTAAAGTGAGGTGTGCCTTGGATACTTGGGGTTCATTCCAAGGACCAAGTTTCTGTGCACATAGTGACCAGTGAGAACTTGGCCAGGCTGGACCTTCCTGTTTCAGGATCTGGGCAGTCCTGAGTCTGGTGGTTTGAGCATTATAATATCCACAGTAAGTTGAGCTGGGAAGGCAGGGTAGATATGCAAAACCAGTTACATCACTTTTCTTTTCTCATTGCAGATTCAAAATTACAAAGGCTGTGGATTGTCAAAGGGAAAAGAACGGTGAGTGGTCCCAACCAATCCGATAAACACAAATAAATTCCTTCCTTCCTTCCTTCCTTCCTTCCTTCCTTCCTTCCTTCCATCCTTCCTTCCTTCCTTCCTTCCCTTCACCCTTTCTTCCCTCCCCCTTCTTCGATAATCATAATCACCATCATCATAATAAATAATTATTGAGCATTTACCATGTTCCAGGCCCTGGGCTAGTCACTTTACCTGTATTATCTCATTGACCCCTTACCACAATCCTTTGAAGTAGATACTACTATTGTTTCATTTACAGATGGGGAAACTGAAGTTCAGAGAGGCTAGGTAACTTGCTCAAAACTGTAGGATCAGTTAGTGGCAGAGCTTGTTGCACTGCAGGGCCCATGTTGTATCTGACCGTGCTCTCCTGCCTCCTTCAACAACTATGTAAAGTTGACTTGATAACTCAAATGTCAACTCCACCCTAATCCTCTGCTTCACTCTGCATCAGTAACCAGCACCTCTTTGGACTTTGTAAGCAGAATCCACTTGCACAAAGCAGGAGTGAGCAGTGTAGACTTTACTGAAGATTTCTGCAGGGAGTTACAAGAGGCAGTTTACTTTGGACACACCATGGCAAATATTATACCTATTACTATTCTCTATTTTATTAGATATTTCTTGTCTCTCTTCAAGTCCCTCCTGGCTATCCCATTGCTGGGGAGGGCCTGTGTAGTCTTCTGTCATGCAGCATCCATCTTCTTTGCATTCTTTCTCTCCGTACTGCCTCTATCCCATCAATTTCAAACCTCTTCCTCTCTTATGCAGAGAAATTCAGCTCTGTTTCAGGTCCTGGCCCTAAACTTACACAGGTCACTCGTACCCCAACAAAACACTGAGCACTTTAGTGAACAGGACCCACTCATTTGTTTTATTAGGGCCAATATCAGTTAGAAATGTGTTTAGCTACAAGTAACAGGAAACCCAGCTAATAGCAGTTTTTAAATACGGTATTTATTTTCTTCATGTTGCAAAGAATGTGGAGGGCTGGTACCGCGGTTCAATGATGTCAGAGCTAGTGTCTCTGATTATCTTGACCTTTTCCCTATGGACACCAGGTGGGTGTTACAGCTCCAACCTTCATGCGGGAGGGAAGACGCAAGCCATCTCTGTCTTTCTCTCTAATAAAAAAACCCAAAAGCTTCCCAGAATCCCACTCTCCTTTGCAGTCTTATGCTTTTATCTTATTGACCAGAATTGTGTCACATGGACACCCCTAGCTGCATGAGTGGCTAGGAATACAAGTTACATAAGTGGCATTATGCTCTTATTATTCTGCACCTTGCTTTTATCACACAAAATCATATTTTCAGTATTTATCATATTGGTGTATATAGCGCTGGATAAATTTAACTACAATATGTGTTCCATTGTATATCACAAGTTATTTATCTATCTTCCTATTGAAAGGCACTTAGGTTGTATCTTGGTATTGGCTCCCTCCGGAAGTCGACCCTGAGACAAGGATGTGAGGGCAAGTTGTTATTTTACAATAGGAAGCATTGGCAGGGGAGTGGCAAAGTGAGACAGCTAAGAGAAGGCACCAAAGGTGCATTATTGACAGGTTATTGCAGTGGGCAAGTGGGGCTTAATCCCACTGGGAATTCCTAGGAGATATCATAGAACACATCGCAAACTTAACCCAACTGAGTGATGAGAGAGCTGGAGGATTTCTCCATCCACTCCAGCAGCCATCACTGGTTATATGCTATTGGGGGCGGGCAGTTAACTCCCTGCTATTTCAGATGCTCCAAGCACTGGCTAAGCAGACTCTGTGGGCCAGAAAAAGCCCCCAGGCAAAGAGCTACAGGTGCTGGCAGTGGAAAGCTCTCTGATTGGCATACACAGGAATGGTGCGTGCCCAAGGGATAAGGGCAGACCACCAACAGCATGTGCTGCGGATTAGCTCCGTAAAAAATATTAATAATGACAAATGAACATCCTTGTATTTTACATGCATTGCCTAGTACATATGTAGGGTGTCTAGGGTATAGAGCCAGGATGGAACTGCTGGGTGCAGAGTGTGTGCCTACTTAGCTGTACTACATACTGCCATGTGGCTCTCCAACGTGCTGTCTACAAGCAGAGGAAGAGTTTCCATTTTAGCACATTGTTGCCAAAACTTGGACTTTGAGATTTTTGCCAGTCTAATGAGTAAAATGCCAAATTGCTCTCCAAAGGTTTATCCCATTTACACTCCCATCAGCATTGTAGGATTTCTCCACATTCTTGCAGGCACTTGGTATTTTTCTGAGTTTAAACAGTTTGTTTTTACATCTGGGATCTATGAGGCAAAAAGAAAACACAGGGAATTTACCACCATGCTGTTCCTTGGGTCCCGAGATCCCTAGCCGGTCTGCCTTTTTCTGTCCACCTTAGAGAGTCTTCTTTTGTTTGTTTTATACATAATGTCTTGGGGATTTAGTTGTACTTGTAGGAGGAATAGGGAAAAGTACATCTGCTCCATCTTCCCGGATGAGTGCCAGAAAAGGGGATTTGCAAATACTTATCATTAAATATAAAGATGAGGCAGGCATGGCACATGTATAGCAACCAGACTGTGCCTGGCACATAGCTGGCACTGAATACAATGATTGCTGTTATTTTTCAATGATCCAAAGATTCTGTAATTCTCAATTTGATTATTTTAAGTGTTGCCTGCTATGATGCTGAATTCTGAAATTCAGTAATTCTATTTTCTAGCATTTCCAGGTTATGGAACTTGACCCTCCTTCCTTCCCCGTTTGTTCTGTCCTTGGACATCTTAGAGAAATAGTTGATCTTCAGTAAGCGTTCTTTTGCCTTGTCTTTCAGAGAGCAGAGGGCATCGATCCGGTTCAAGACCACTCCTATTAATACTCTCATGGATGTGCTTCGCAACAGACCTGGATGGGTGGAAGTAAAAGAGTAAGACACCACCCCCACCACCTTGTCCCTCCTTCCCTCTGTCTCACAGGTCCTTGTCTCCTTTCGTTTTTCTCGCAGTTCCCCTGAGTGGCTACTGGGACTTATTCCAATTTGGCTGTGACAGGGGCCAACATTTGTTTAGCACTCACAAAGTGTCAGGCACATGGCTGACACCACCTCTTGTCTTATTTAAGCCTTACAGCCATTTAGCAAGATATGATTATGTTCAGAGGTATTAATCCAATCGCTTAAGGTCACACAGGCACATAAATGGGATTCAAACCCTGTTCAGTTTGACTATTGTACAGCCAGGCAGAGTCCCGGGCTCATTTCTGCCTTGGTCCAACAGTGTCCTATGGCTCTCTGTAGAAACAAGGAATGCAGCCATTATGGACCAGCTGGCTTGAATTCTCCAGTGATGGCTGGTCCAGGTCAAGGGCTGCTCTTCCCTGGTCACTTACTAGTTCTGTGACCTTGAACAAGTGACTTAACTCCTAAGCCTGCATTTCTTCTTCTGTGCTGGATCCTGGGGATACTGAGATGAACAAGCTTACCATGCCTGGCACATGGTACGTGCTAATATTAGTTACTAGGATTGAAGTTTGAATGCATGTAACAGACACCTAAAGTAAAAGAGGCTTTGACATACTGGAAGTTTACTTGCCTCTCCCGTTGAGGTAGGATATTCAGAGATGGTGGAAACCACCTGTTTCCGTCTTTCCACTCCACTATCCCTTGAGTGGAGCCCTCGTTCTCACGGTCTCTGGTGGAGCTCCAGCCTCACATACACATTCCAAGTGCACAGATAGGAAGGTGGCAAGAAAAGACACGCCCTGCCCTTCAAGGACACAAGCCAGGAATGCCTCCCATTTCACTGGCGGGGACTTAGCCATGCAGCCTCATGGAGCTGCAAGGGGACCTGGAAAATGTAATCTTTATTCTGGAAAATGTAGACTACATTTTCCCAGGTAGATGTTGGGAATTCTATTATCGTAGAAAAGGGGAGGGTGGATATGGATGAATATGCAGGGTGAGAGCAACAAGCTGCCCAGCCATGGAGCTCAGTAAATATTTGTTGCATAACAATAGTAAGCCTGCTAGACACTCTTCAGCACTTTGCATGCATGACATCTTTGAATCATCCAGCAAACCTTCCAGGTGGGTGCAGTCATCATCCCCATCTTACTAAAGAGAAAACTGGACACAAAAGAGTAAAAAATGCCATCTTTGAGGTCACTCAGCTTGTAAGGGCTCACTTGGTCTGTCTGTCTGCCGAGTCCCAGGCTCATCTCCGCCCTATTCTAGCAGCCTCTCAGTGAATGAAGGAACCAATGAGCCGATGGATGAATCCATGACTCTCACAGTCTGGTGTAATTGAGGTTGGGGGAAGAGGCTGAGGAATGAATTAGAGGAAAGTGAGGTGACCAGCAGGTGAAGGCAGTATATGGGAAAGGGCTCTGTTCTGACCTGCTGTGTGACCTCAGGCTACCCCCTGCCCCTCCTCAACCTTGCTCCATGGCAGGTGGAAGAGGGTCTGAGGGTTTGTCTGGTTCTGATGGTGTGGGAGTCCATGAAGAAGGTTGATCCGTGGCTGATTCCAAATTGCCTCAAGGGTCCTCAAATCAGGAATGGCCAGAAGCCAGGGCCTTTACACCAGACATGGCTCTGTGAATGCGAGGCCTCATCCTTTAGGACCTTACCTGGGGTCTAGTATTTCTAGATACAATGAGGTCTCATTTCAGACCATCAGCCTGTCAGGTCAGAGTTTGGAACAGATGTGTCCAAAGCTGTCCCTTTCCTTGCTTCCCACCAAGAAAGCTGACATGATGCCTGGAACTGCAGCAACCATCTTGTGACCCTGAGGTGATGAGCATGAAGACAACATATTAAGGATGACAGAAAGGAAGGTAGAAGGAACCCAGATCCCTGCTGCCCTTGTTGAGCAGTTTAATGTCTTCCTGGGTGATGTAAGAGCAACTTGACTGTGATAATCATGAAGATGACGTACAAATGAATGAACTTTCAAAATGAGAAAAGAACCCAAAATCCACACGATGGCCTACAAGGGCCTGCCCTACTCTTCAGCATTTCCCTGACCTCACTCCTCCACTCTGGATTTTCTTCACGTCCTTGAGCGTGCCCTTTCCAGCCTCAGGGTCTCACTTCCTGTCCTTCCCTCTCCTAGAACCCTCTTCCCGCTGTTCTTCACCTGGATGGTCCTCCTTACCCTTCAGACCTCAGTTGAAATGTCACCTCCATAGGGTGGCCTCCACCCAACATAAGTCGCTTAGCTACCCGGCCTCATGGCCTCCTCCTGGGTTACTTGTGGCACATTTCACAATTCCCCGTTGTACTGTTCTTCATTTCCTTGTTTATTGTTCATCTTCACCATGGTATTATATGCACCACCTGGCCCAGGGTTTTGGTTCCTCCTGTATCCATGTGTTGGATGAATGAATGAATAATGCATTATTCATTCATTCACCCATTTTCTATTCATTCATCTGAAACAAAAGATGGGTGAAAAAGCAAGCTGTGAAAGGAAACAGGAGTGGTTCTAACCATGAAGCTTGGACTCGAGCCTGATGGCCTGAATTCAAATCCTGCTCTGCTATTTACTAGCTGTATGAACTTGAGTGAGTTCCTTAATGTCTCCATGCCTCAGTTTCCTAATCTGTAAAATGGGCTTAATAACAGAACCTAACACTTAGGATTGCTATGAGGCTCAAT